CCCCTCCCACACTCCCCCCTTCTCCCCCCACACACACAGGAGGCAGCAGTTCCTCCTGCATCTTTTCACTCTCCATCATCATAAATGAGATGCTCTCATACCCGCTCGTTTTACTCTCACCCCAGCAGGAATGCACTTCAGCTGCAGTGGCATCAGAACCCAAACCGGTCCACCTGATCTGCATCAAGTTTGGACTTTGGTGAACTCCAAAACTTGACCACTGGCTTTGATTTAGTGTCCCCCTCTCTGCTCACACCACCTTGTCTGTGTGCATGCATGACTTTTTGATGTTCACTGCTGTTTATTTACACAAAGTTACTCATTCATAAATGACTTAAACGTCTTTTTTCCAGTATTGACGTTAAAAATGCATTTCTTTCTGTTGCACTGGGTTATAGTGTTGCAGCTTAACAGCAGTAGGAATTGGGAAACATCGTCCAGGAACAGAAAGCAGGGGAATAAAAACGTTCACTTACCAGATTCAGCACCGTCTCAACAATGTCCCGGTTCGTAACCTCTCCAACTTGGATCAGTCCGATAAGAACAGCAAATTTCATTCTGATATTCCGGATTGGAAGCGACGGATTGATAATCCCAGCCGGGAGGACCATAGAACCTGAGCCGGACATCATCACGGTCTCACCGGCGGCAGCGGAGACAGCAGCCGCGTGTTGCCTGGGTCCTGGAGGGGGTTGTCGGTCCGAGAGCGATACAGAGCCCGGCATTGTCCCCGGTCTCTCGTCTGTCATCAGCCCCCCGAACCGGGAGCTTCTTCAGCGGCTAGTTATGCCCCTTTCCCTGGTGATAAATTGGCTCACAGCTCTGGAGCATCAAAAAGAAACGAAAGAGAAGAACAGTCACGAAGCCCCGTGAAACAAACAGAAAACACACACAAGAAATCACTCTCTGTCAGAAAATCCACTCCAGGGAGTTCCGGGGATGGAGTCCGGTGTGTTGTCAATGCTAGTCGGTTAACTGAGCTGACTGACCTGCGCTGTGTACACAAAGATGTGTGTGTGCCGCCGCCGCCGCTCTCCTGGACGAGCGTCTCCGTGCCTGCGCTGCGGTCACCGCCATGTTGCCGCCCCCTGCCTGCAGTTCGGTCTCAACACGCCTGCGCTGGATGAATGACCGTTAACAGGCATGGACGTTTGCCCGGGCGGATAACCGCGAAAGTGGGATGAATGACTCGGTGTAGTGGGGGTCCTTCCAGCGTTTCGGCGACGGTTAATTGCGAAAAGAAACTCTTAAAACATCTATGTACCTTTATTGAAGATTGTTCGTTAGTTAAAAGTCGTCTAGGTACATTTAACCAATAAAGTTTAACTCAGACAATCATTTTTACATGAACATTACGAAAAGCCGCCAGCTACTTCCCAAAGTTTAGCATGATCCTCAAAGAAAGATGGCTGCCGGAAGTTCTTAATGTCTCTACAAAGTAAGAGCCAAATAAAATTTAAATCCATAAGCTAACCTACCGCAGTTGTACCTCAGTTAACTGACTGATTGAATTAATGTACAGTTTTATATATGTTTCCATTATTGTCTTCGTAATTTTGCCTTTGATCGTGTCTGTTAGTATGACAACAATAAAGCTTGGTGTTGTTATAACTAGACAAAAGAAATATTGTATTATTGAAAAGTCTTAAGCTAGAACTACATTAGAACAAGAAGGCAAGAAAAAGGCAGACATAATATTGATATTGAAATAACTCTTATATATCTGATCCATTTCGACTGACGTCTCCTAAATGTCTCACACTGTAGTCTCAAAGCAAATGTCAGTCGCTCCATAATGTAAATTTCATGAACAGTTCCTTGCCAGTGTTCCAGTGTCAGTGAGTTGGGTTGTAACCACTTCCTTGTTATAGTCTTCTTTGCTCCAATCAGTAATATCTTCATTAGATATTTGTCTGCTATTCCTTGAGTAGCCTACGCAATGCCATGGTACCAAAATAGATTAAGCTGACATTAAATTGTAAAGTCATTTGAAACATGTATTCCAGACAATCATAATTATCATGCCAATAAGACAAAAGTTAAATCTGAACCACACATCCTCCAACAATTTTCTCCACCACCTTGATGTTTCTTCTGAGCCGGTGTGATAAAAAATCTCATGACGTTTTTCCATCCAAATTCTCACCAGCTATGTGAATTTGTGGTTGACTGATTGATTTAATGTACAGTTTTATATAGGTTTCTATAATTTTTGTCTTTGATCTTGTCTGTCAGTATGACAACAATAAAGTCTGGTGTTTTTAAATTTAGATAAAAGAAAGATTGTATAAATGAGAAGTCTTAAGCTAGAACTACATTGGGACAAGAAGGCAAGAAAAAGGCAGACATAATATTGAGTTGACAAAATTACCTTTTTTTTCTTAACTCTTAGCTAGACATATTTAGTCTCGGCTGGAAATTAAATGTAGGTTACAAATGTATGATGGATATACTCCATTCAGGTGTCCCTGTTTTGGTATAGCAAATAAAATGGAAATGCATTATTTAGAGTTATAAGCACTGCGATAGCCTATACAAGTCATAAATAAAAGTATTTTGGCAGCAAATGGCTCAGCAGAGGATATAGCAACATTTATCAGTGCAAATGCTTTCCATTCCCATAATCTCTACTCAGAAATAAAAGCTAAATTGAACGTGGTTCTAATTTCAAAAGAGGAATGAATGTCTGTAACTAAATAGTTTTGGGTTTTTTTCCCCTCAGACTGCCTTCACAATGGTTTAGTTTTAAAAGGCCTATTAGAGTTTTGGGCTCTAGCCCAAGCCAAAAAACATAAACTTAATCTGAGCTGTACAACCATGTAAATGTCATGATTATACATCAATTAAATGTATAGAGCGTGATCATAACTTGCATTGACAGCTAATATGTTGAAGGAAAAAGTACATGAAAAAATTATCATGGAGACTCCATTACAGACTGAGATATTCCAGCACTAGTCTTGCTTCAGACCTCATACAAACAGATAAAGTGCATCTATATAAGAATCTGACTGCTATAAAATCATAGCTGCCCTGCAGCACCCTCTTTTCTTTACATAAGATAGCTTGTTTTATTAAAGATAGGCCCCAGGTATAAGGCTCAAAGTGACCTTGGATAGTCAACTCACAAAGCAGTACAACAAACACCAAATCCTATTAAAGTGAGATTAATTCCTTGGTCATACAGGTCAAGTTTTCTCTCAATGCTCATAGTGAGCTTGTGGTAGAGCCTGCTCATTGAAACATTGAACAGGCTCTTGCAGGCAGAATTTTAAGCATATACAGACAGTAGTGGAATAAATGTTGGTTTATAACTTAAATGTTGTGACATTCTTGGTTTGTATGCATTTGTGTAGCCTAGGAGTGTTTTATGTTACACTGTTTTAATCATATGTTGTTGAAGCCTGTTAAGATGTCTCTCCTCGGATGAAGCACTCTTTTCGATGACGAGAATAATCCCTTTTGCATCATTTTCAAAGAATTGTGTTGCATCTAAACAATGTTTTCCAGGAATAATGTGTGTGACTGCCTGTCGACTTTGATGTTTTCTGTGACAATCAAAAAGATCCACTCTGTAATGTTCTCCCTTTTACTCTGACAATGATATCTGGAAATAAATACTGTATATATCACCTAACAGCAACAAGGTTTATGGGATTACATAAGGGACTGGCACTGACAGCTTGGCAACAATCCTGTCCATCGCTTGACTGACAGCCAGACGCTGAGCTTGCATTTCATGACCTCTTTAGGTTGAACCGTGTCAGCATGGCTTCAAAAGAGGTGGAAATAATGACAGCTTTATATGGCTGTACCTGTCATGTACACCTCTGAGGGATTTTAACGCTTGATTTAATTTGCTCTTGTGCTTTGTAGAAAAAAACTGTCAATCTTATTAAATAGCCAGTTCATAAGCCTGATAAATGGCAGCCTAATTGTCATATATATAATCTTTCTTATCGAGTATTATTTTTTGTAGTCTATTTATGGCCTAATCCTTGTTGTTTGTTATTCAGTTATCTCAACATAATGCTCTCCCGTCAGTGTCCTCTAATGTCATTTGCAGAAACTCATCCCTATCCCTTTCCTATCCTCCCAATCTCCTCCGTTAATCTTGCTGGTTCACCTTCCAGTGTGAACCAGAAATGCTGCCTGTGCTGAATAGAGGTCAGTGGAAGAGGTCTGACTTTGCTTTTCACACACCAAGAGCATATAAGAGCCGTATAGGGGACATAAATTCAGACACACAGCACTGCAGTCATGTTCTTGTAACAATACCTCTAAGCACCACAGCAGCCTCCTGCTTTTCCTTTTAATGTTTCTGTAATTAAATTCATGGCTAAGCCACAAGGTTTTGTTGGATACTATATAGTCATCAGATCCAACTTTGATTATACTTTAAGTAATGGATCTATGATAAGCATTGTATCCCATTAAACCAAGAGTACTTCATAAACAACTTATCTAATACTTGAAAAATACTTGAAAGTTTGTCTTATTTCCATTTGAGCTATAAAATAAATTAAAGAATTGTCCTAGTTTTGGTATTATTGCTTAAAACAAAAAGGCATCCAGAGTTAAGAGTGATCTATTTACCAGAAAGGGCCATCCAGTGAACACAATAATAAATAAACTAGTTTTATAATAGTTGTCCTCATGTATGTTTTCATAAAAAATCTAAAGAATAGCGCTCATGTAGCTTTTCCACATCACTGCCATGTTTGTAATTTAAAGTGAAAAAGGGCACCAGTAATATCTCTGTCCTCCTTGATCTGCCTGCAGACTTGTATTTGTTTAATTTGGCCAGTAGAGGTCGCTCTCATCCCAGATCACAGAGAAAAGGGGTCACTGTACTGAGCTGTCTATAACAAGCAAACATGACCGTGGCCTATTTTTACTATAAATCGCTCACAAAAGCGTACAAACTTGATGAATGAAAACTTGCTCGATTTTCTCTCCATCTTCTTAATGTGGCAGGATGAACCAGTGATTACAAACTCTTTATTTTGATAGTTTTATTTAAAAAAAATGTTTTGTCTTGCACTTGACTGCACAATCCAGTACCTTTAAGCAGGTATGACCGAGTCAAACCTTTAGTCATTCCTTTCACAACCACAGGAGGTCAACGTTTAATAAAATTACACCCATTCAGAAACGGCAATACTGAAGCAAAGTAAAACCAGCTTACAATTTTGTACCATGTGTATTACAGGAAGGTTGACACTGACAGGATCAATATATAGGATATTAACATATGTACTATTTTACCCTTCACATATATACAATATTTACATGTTGTTGCATGTACATTATATTCACACACATATTTACACAGACGTTTCAGTCTATATTATAATTATAGCTTAAAATCTGAGAGGAATAAGATATTCATGCTTCCCAGAAGCATTTAAGAGCTTGAATGTCCTAGACATTGTCGATTAAAGTAACAGTAATACAATATTATTAAAGATAATAATTATTACATTATGTAGGTTTAGAAACATGAAGGTAAATAAGGTCCTAATTCTAAAGACATTGGCAGGATGATTAATTTCCCGTTGAGTATTTATGCTCAGCACCTATAAGATGTCCTCTTCTGTCATTGTGCAAGTACAGAGGAGCTCCAAGTGATTTTAAGGCTTTTCCTCTCTGAAAAAAACTGTGCTTTACTTCTGGGGTTCAGTCTATATATTGTGTCTGCCTGTTAGCGATGATTTAAAGGCTCAGTCTGAATCTCAAAGCTCAGCAGACACAACCGACGAAGAGTTTCAGATTTTGGTCTCTGGTCCGTCTGTGATAAGCGGCTGGAAAGAGTTACGGATCCGAGCAGCTTCTGCAGCGCACAGGTGGCCAAAGGCTTTGTTGTACCAGTCTGGAGTCCTTCCCCTGAAACATAAAGAGTGTATTTAGTTAAGAATTGAGTATAAGTGAGTACAAGGAGAAAACAAAGTAAGAAAAGGGGTCAGGGGTCTTACTTCAAGTCCACCCTGCAGATGTGAGTTAGTCTGGACTTTCCTGAGCCGCATGGTTCTAGCAGGTAGTTGGACTCTAGGACTACTGCTCGTACCCCTCCAACAGAGGGACAGTCTTCATGCTCTATTGACACAGAAACCAGGGAGCAGGCACCTTTGGGCAAATCCGTCCTCCATGACCTTAAATAGACAGAAAGAAAACTGAGTGAACATCCTCAAATATAGGCCACATTTCCACTTCCACACCTTATTTTACATTCCTCATAACTCACCTGAGGACCACAAAATCTCTGCTGGGATGAGGGGGCATTCGGTTCAGGACATACTGGAACACTTCCGTGTGCTTGTCTAGCGTCTCACACACTTTCCACTGCAGCAGGTCCACATCCCACAGGTGGCGCTCTCGTAGAACTCGATTCAACACTACAGATGGTGGTGCTTCCACCTCCACAGACACTTTCCAACGTCTCAAAGGGTTCCCGTCTCCCACCTACAAAAAAAACACCAAGTTTTAAAGCAGGACTCATGACTCAAGTATTAAGTACTGCACATTTTTGCATCAATGAGCTCTAAGATTTACTCCAGTGTTTTTTTATGTGTTGTTGTAAATGAAAAGCGAGTAAGTGAGAACACCGACCTTTTTATAGTAGAGCTCTGTGTTATCAGAGCTGCTGCAGGACACCCAGTATTTGGACTTTTCCCGGGCCTCTTTGAGCAGGTTCTGAAGCCTCCCCTCCATATGAGTTTGGTATGTTCCATCGTCATCTTCCAGCTGCTTGCACAGCTCGTCAATTGTCGGTGCATGCAAGTCAGCCTCCACGTATGAATTACGCGACTGAGTAACCATCTCATGAGGAATCTAATGGGTGTAAAAAAAGCATGAGGTAAGACTCGAGGCAATTAGACGTTAGGACATTCCTGTGGATATTGCATCCAGGCCTGAAATTCTTGCATCATTTCAACTGCAGGTTCATCTCTTACCTCAAAGAGACGGTTACACTCTATGATCATATGAGCGAGGCCTTGTGTTGCTGCTAAGTTTTCATTCAGGTCCTTCTGATCCGGTCTGCCAGTTGCGTACTTCTTCTGCATGGCCCTGGGGAGAGAAAACCTATTAGGTCGGCAGTTCTCCAACTCAATGTGCCTTTGAAAGGCAGTATATAAACCCTTCCTCTGCTCTGCAGGAAACCCCTTTGATCCCTTTAGCAACAATTTCTACATGGTAAATTAGAGAGCTTTGCTTTGTTTGTACACAGCATGATCTCATAAAACATAGACGCTGTAAAGAAAGAGTGCCATGTCTTCTTCAGAACTTACTCAAACCAGAGTAATCTACCGCAACCCTGAAGGCACAACAAACTCTGTAACCTGTTTTATGTTCGTCTTTATGGAGTTATAGGTGAAGATAATCATGCAGGAGGCTAATAGAACGCATGCATGTCTCATTCATTAAATTTTTACAGGAAACTGGAGAACATGAAAAAAAAATACCTAGGAGAGAGATTGTCTTTCTTGAGTATGTTGAGATGAAAGAGGGATGGAGCCAAGCACACTGCGATGTTCATGGGTGTCATCTGGTTCTCTTCCACGGAGGACGTCACGTCACTGAGGAAACAGAGCAAGGTCTGCAGCACCTCTCTGTTCTCATCTGACATCAACATGATGGCCGCCTGCACGGCCTGCAACCTCTGATCCTTTGGCACATCTGCGCATTCAAGAGAATCGATTCTTATTGCTGTTTTACAAACAGACCATCAGAAGAGCCAAGAGAGAAGTTCAAGTCCTTACACTGGTAGATATGGAGAAAGGTCTCCCCCAGCTTGCTCGTGAGCAGAGGCTCGGGTAGATCCCTGAAGAACTGCTTCACCATGTCAGCCACATCATAGGCAGACTGATCCTCATAGTTCACATTGTCTGGAGAGTTCTCATTCATCTGCCTGAGAGCTTGAATCCGGGACTTCACCCCTGACTTACGAAAGAGACCCACCTTCAGAGAATAAGAGAAGTGTTTGTGTTAACCCGACAGCTGACTCACACAGACAACTACGTCATCCAGCAGTTCCCCTTCTTGTATTGTTTATATGCCACCATTGTACCACTGAAAACTTACACCATGAAATAAACACATCCGGTAAGTCATGTAACGTGTAACCTGAGAGTACGTGTACTGTGACTGACCTGGTCAAGACACTGGCTCCTCAGGTAACGCAGCGCCTGCTGCAAGCCGAGCGGCAAAGGTTGTCCTGATCGCTGCACATGCACAATGAGAGGAACGCCGAACACGTTCTTATCCTTATAGTCTGGTACCTTCATTCTCTTCATGAACTTTGGGACTGACCTACAAGAGACGGAAACGCATTTGAAAACACACTTTGTATGCCTCATGGTGTTATAAGAGAAAACAAATGTACATCCAAGAATTTGAAAAACGAGACGTACCAAGTCCAGCCATGTTTGTTGGACATGGAGTACTTCTCCATGATTGCAGTGAGACGCAGTAGAGAAAACTTCTGTAACAGACTCAGCTGACCTGCTGACTGGTTGGTGATCTGCAGGGAGGCCACTGAGTGACTTATGCGATTAGATATCTGGAAGCTTGGCCACCGTAACCTGTCATGATTAAATGCAAATAAAAAGACTTTTATTCTTCTGCATCAAATACAACTTAAACTAGAATAATTCTACATTTTTCTGCACTTTCAGTCCAGTTCACCATCTCATACCGATTAGGTCTTGTGAGTGATGCACCAACTCCTGAGTCCCTCCTCTCCCTGAGACGTGCAGATTCTGTCTCTGCGAGCGATACTCTGTCACCGTCTCCAAGACTCGGTGTCGTCTGGCTTCCTGTGACAGAATTTCCCTCAAAGTCCAAAGTGATCTGACTGGAGGTCTGGAGGTCTACGGTACCCTCTCTCCGCTCACCGTCCACTCGCGCCGACCCTTCGACTGGTAACACATTCTGGGACCAGTGGTCTACTATCTGCTGTAAGCCATTGACGTGCAGCAGGATATCATCGAGGTGAGGAAACAGGTTCTCCTTCTCCAGGTCTATCAGGTCTCCTGTGCTAGCGTAGAGATGTGAGCCGGGAACGTTATCGTAAACACTGATCCTGCTGCCTCTGGAGCAGCACTGGGTGACAGGTCTGGATTCCCTCCTGCATGAAATGAGTGGAGGGGAGTCCAGGTGCATGCTGCCTGTGTGCCAGTTGATAGAAGCCCCGTTGGTGGGGGACAGACTCTCTATGGACAGTGCTTTGGGAAAGGTTCCTGGCTTGTGGTCTTTGGGAATGTGGACCACCAGGTCTTCATAGGAGCAGAATTCATTCTTGCGGTTTTGTTCTGCAACTTTATTCACTTGAGTTCCTGAGAAAATGTCGATATCTTCCAAATACATGCCGCTGCGCTTGTGGTCAGCGCGGTGAGGCTTGCGTTCCTTCAGGCTGGGCGTGCTGACGGCGCTGCCGCTGGAATGGCTGCTGCCCTCACTGCTGGACTGGGACGGTAGAGCTTTCTCGGACGGCGTTTCTGAAGTCTCCACGTCTCCATTTATGATCTCGACACACCGCAGCGTCTTCAGTGCCTGCGCCTCCTGCTGCAGCACCGGAGCGCTGATCACCAAGTTCTTACGACTTCTACCCAGAGTTCCCCTCGAGCGCAGAGTCTCCATGCGCTTCAGGAAGTCTTTGGCACGGATTCGGCTATTCTTGCCGTGCTTGTCAGTCAAAGAGCTAAAGTGAGAAATGTCTTTGGGGATGTGAGGCATTGTGAGAGAAGTAGAGTCTGGCATTGCTGTGGAATCAGAGCAGGTGCGGTTGGAGCAGTCTGAGTCCTCGGTGCTGAGGCCCCTGTGACCGCTGCCGCCGCTGCTCTCGCTGTGAAGAGAAGAGACCTCGGGCTCGCTGAGGTCTGTCAGAACGCTCTCGCTGCTGGTGGTGGTTCTCAGAGGAACGCCGTCCCTGGAAGGATGACCCTCTCCGTGGTTTTCTAGCAGACAGTCAATGTCCTGTAGTCTGGACCAGCGCCTGCTGCTCCACTCAAACGTCCATTTGTCACTGATGGCAAACAGGTCTTCTTCATCAGAGTCTTCACTCTGGGTAAAGACAGATTGGGTTACATCATTTACTCCAGCCCACATGATTAAATCTGCTATTTTTAGTCGAGTTGAAATTAATGTTCCTATTTTGGTCTCTCCACTCGGATCTCGATAACGATCTAAAATATTCAAACAAACACATTCACATGATAGGAGATTGACTCTGAGATAACCTGCACGATTTCAAACCTTTCTCCCCTCTCTGAAAGATACTTCACACATTTTCCGTCTTTGTGTTATGAGAAGCAAAAGAACTCATTAGATCAGCAAGCTCTAAATAAAAAGCCTGTGAAGCATCACACGTGTCATCGACGCCACGAGGAACAGTTGGAAAAAAATATTCAGGAAATAGCGAAGGATCTGCTCTGAATTAATAACATTACACAATCAGCCAAGAGTGATATAACACCAGACGGATGGTTCGTTTGACTTGAAGACTCCTCCATAAATAGACCAAACAGGAAAAAAATCATTAATATGAGCCAACAGGCTGCATTCCAGAGTGGGGACAGATAAAAGCGTCAGTGTCCCACTCCACATGCATGAATAAAACAGAGCCACAATCTCAAATATCACAGATCTGGTTTATATTTGTGTCGGCGCAAGGAGGATATGCATAACTTAAGGCGTTCTTTGTAAGAATATACTATTTCTTACAAAAGCAGTGATGTTGCTCTTGTACGACAAAAACACAGTGTGGTATCTGAGTCAAGGGGGTAAAGCTTTCTTTAGAAACAAACACAGGAAACCCTTAAAGGTACCCTACATAACACGGTATTAGATTTCAAAGTAAGAGGCACAACATATAGGAGCTTCTCATCCTCAGAGGACACTTTTGCTAGATATTGCTAAATATTCTCAATTCTTAACACTGTGCCTAGGGCTGGGCAATATGGCCTCAAATCAATATCACGATATATTGATCAGTTCACCTCGATAACGATAAATGAACGATAACTACTCCACAAGCTGCTCACCCCCTCTCACATTAACTTAGTCTACTTTCAGCTGCTACAACTTTTGAACCGTCCACCATCTCCTCACCTGTCTTTCCCTCTTTCTTATGGACAGGATGGGGTGGACAGCGTCTTGAAGGGACATGAGACCATAGCCCACCTACATGCACCCAAAACCAACTTTTATTTATTCATTTTTTTGACACCTAATATACCGATATGGGCGAGATGACGTTGGTTATTGTCGTAAATTTCGGTATCGGTTAAATTTTCGGTTTATCGCCCAGCCCTAACTGTGCCTATAAATTTTTGTTTTAAGAAACATGCCTTTTTTTCATTTTTAAAAGCACAGTGTCACACATGTAGCCACATTTTAGGCTTTTAGACTGCAGAAGCATCTTTTTAATAATAATAAAAATAAGAAGAAAGGCCGTCACTTACTTTCTTCTTCGGAAGGTTCACATCAAGTTTCATAGAGGCACACTTGTTCAAGGTGTTGAGCCGCCTGAAAGAGCAAAAACACAGAGGTTTAAAAAGGTCCTGAATGCACCAGTGAAACCAGCAAGACTGCAGAAATGAATTCTGTCCTGTTTCTGCTAGTTGAGCTTTGATTGAATCATCTTCAGGTCTGGATGTACAACCAGACCCAGAGGGAAATCGAGTTTGTCCACGGGAGAGTACCCCAAACCTAATGAGCAGCGGTAATTGTTCCTTTATCTCTCCTCTCCCTCTTCAGCCTCGGATCGGCGTGATTGCGGCTTGATAGGTTGTTTTCCAGAGTCTGACATCTGAAATACTGTTTAAGCCTTTTTTAAAGATTGGCATCAACTACACAGCCTGAATGTTGGACCTTGTTCTTTGTGATTAACGGTTTTGTGGAATAATTCAAGTTACTCTGACATGAACCAACAATAGAATGGGGAGAAGATGACGGCATGACAAAATACACTCCGGCTCAGAGACACTCCTTTGTGGTACGATAATGACAAGCTTAAACAGCTCCTTATACCGCTAATAGTCCTTTTACAGATTGACTGTATTGTTCAGTGACAGCAAACGGCCTCACATGGAGGCTGTAACTATCCACCAGTGTGCTGTAGATGACAGGGGTTAGCCAAACAAGAGTTCTCATGATTGTTACTGGAGATAGAGAGACCTGAATGTGAGGAGTGGATTTCGAACTGGGGGCCTTTTTATTCCACGGGCCTAAAGAGCTTTGAATGTGGTTTCTAAAATAGAAGTCTGCTTAACCCTGGATCAGAGAGAGCACTCACATACATGAAATATCCATCACTTTCAGCTATCAAAGCCCCCGCGGTATGCAGGGAGGTACTCATTTCTGCGCACTAGATCGTAATTGCATAACTGATGACAAGGACATCCTTTTGTTGCCACGGTGATGCTGGGAAGTCATGGGCAAAATCCCGTCGGAGGTGGAACTGTTTTCAATTGTCTTCTTTTTATCCCGTGGCTAGTTTGGAATTCAGATGAGTCGCTTTAGGGTTGTTTAGAGTCACAGTATATTGAGCTGTACCCTCCTGCTCCTCCTAGCTTTTCCTTGCGGGACGGTTGCCACGGTTACGGGGGTAACTAAAGCGCTGTTTTCATCTCAGCCAGCTCGGGGGGGAAAAAAAAGCACACGAGTCTTCTCACCCTACAAGGGAGTGATGTGGAGCCACCAGTTTGTTGGCTTAGCGGAGGATGTTCCTTGTAACTCAGTGAGTCAAATTTGGGAAAAACCCTGAATCTTGTATTCCTCGTGCGTTATGACTAAGAAAAGGGTTTTATTAAGTAATTTAAGGTCAAATAGATCTGCTCCCTTTTGGCTCATGTGTGTTAGTCTGTTAATCCACTAATTCATCAGTTGTTCATGACTTGTGTTACCTTTTTGTGAATATGGACATTGATTCATCAAAAATTAACATAGTGACTAAGTTGCAAGACAGGAGTTGGTGCAATACTGAAGGAATAACAGGTTTACCCACAGTCAATTTGTTAACCTGATCAAGAAAATGGATCCAAACCCTGATCTTACATGGTAACAGGGTTCCTACTCAAGTATGGAAATAAATTTGATCAATTTCCAGGTCTTAAAAAGTATGGAAAATGAGAACTAAGTATGAAAAAATAACTATGTTTCCAGACTCGTACCACACTTCTAAAATACTGTTTTCTAAAAATATATTTCTAAAAAGTAGGGTATGGAAAAGTATGGTTGGTCTGTTAATCCATTTTTTTGATTTATAAAAAAATGACATCCTGACTAAGTTGCACTGCAGGAGTTGGTGCAACACTTAAGGAATACCAGGTTAACCTACAGTCGATTTATTAACCTGAGAAAGAAAAAGGATCCAAACCCTGATCTTAGATGGTAAGATGGATCCCCGAAAACCCAGAGGAAGTAATCTGTGGATCTTTATGTGTAAAGATTAAATGTTTTATTGGACTTGGTTTATGCGAGCTCCATCCATTGCATAACTCCCTTTAAAATTGAACAGAATTTACTGTTATCCAAGTTAGTGTCTTTTTTAAAGGTTAGCAAAGTTAAATATTTGACACATCTGAGTCATGGATAAGCACCTGCACAGAGGCTCCACAAGATCCTTGTCCAGAAAGTCGTGATCTCTTTTCACTGGAGTAATGTCGATAGGGAACTGAGAGTCTGAGGAGGAAAAAAAAGACAACAGAATTAGATCATAATAAGTCTTTTCTGGAAATAGATCTGATATTTCTGTGAGCAATAATGGGATGAATAAAAAGAAAGTTCTCTCAACCGCATTTTTTCCAGAAGCCTATTGAAGTCTCGGAGCCCATCAGACTTGTTTTGTATGTGATGCTAATGAGGAGAGTCAGAATTTGCCCAAATAACAGCGCTCAGGCTTGTGCAGGCATTACGTCTTGCTCTGGGTATGGGCCTCCTCTTACATAACTTAAGAGACTGAATCCAGACCCTCTGATTCTGACATTCCAGCGCATTCATGAGAAGTCATTAACTTTTTTTATGAAAAGCAGAAGCAGCTACAAAAAGCTCAACAAGGCTGCGCCTGTTCTGCAGACACTCCGATACACTGTCGGCTTTGAATCGGCCAAATAACAGATTGCATTATTAATGTCATTTCTAATACGTAACGCTTCGCATCAGGAGGGAAAAACTTGTGTTGTCTGCTCTGTGCTCTTACAGACGTTATCAGCTCTGTAACAACAATCTAACAAACTGTCAGCAAATAAATGTAGTGCACCGGAGCACATCAAAAGTCTGGCCTCCACACAAAGATCTGAGGAAGCTGAGCTACTTTAAGCTCCGATAAAACCCATTTCTTCCCATGACTTCAGTCTTTGAGCGCAGGAGACATGTTTATATGGTGACTGTAGCTTGAAACAGATTAGACTTTAAAAGCGGCTGATGTTCCGCTCGTTCTGCGGTGTCTGGGGATCAGCCTGGAGCTCTCGCTTTGAGGCTTCCTGAGGACAGTTGTGTAAATGAGGCTCACTGTGCGCAGCATGAGAATGTGAACACACTATGGTGAAAGACCAGATGAGGCTGTGTGGCACCATTCACTCATCGTTGAAATAAAAAAACATTCAAAGCCATTAAAGTGTTTCGTTTCGCATCAGCTAAGTGATTTAAAATAAAAACGTCATTTCTGGTTTATTACAGAGCCTCTCTTTTAGAGTGCTACCTCATTAATCTGTGCCTTTTAACCCAACAACTTTTCCTCCCCTTGTGATATACAGTGTGTGTGTGGGAGTGAAAAGAGAGCTTTTAGTACCTTCAAAGAGCTGAGCGTACTGGGGGAATCCTGCTGCCCGCAGCCAGTCACACGCCTCTTTCGCCTCGATTTCTGGAAAACACAAGACACAAGAAAAGGGTTTCTTATAAAACAGATATCGATAGTGAAACTCAAACACTTCTGTGAAATCACCCGAGCTTAAAAAATGCAGCCAAAAACACCCCCCCAGGTCGAACAGGGTTAGTATTGTGAGTGAAACTGCTGTCTGATGTCTGGGATGGTGACCTTAGGTCAGTCTGATGGGTGGAAGTATCTCATCAAAGTCACATGAACAGGGGATCTTATACAACTTTCAGTTTGAGTATGATACAAGTGAGAACAAATTTAAGGTGGACTGACAGCATCTGTCTGCACCGATCTGAAGAAACGCTCTTCTAGAAAATACATTTTAAACACAAAGTACAGATATTATCAAAATGTCACATCTACCATCTGACAAACAAATGACTCCCGGATCACAAACACGTCCCCGTGACGTCTGCAGACCTCAGAGCAGCTGATGACAAGGAGAGGAAACAGACCGTTGGCACCTTTCCATTAATGCTAACAGAGTTTGGTGTCATCTGCCGCCTGAGTGCGATGCACTCTCTGACGCACCGGTGCCACAGTACACAGTGTGCATTAAACGTGAAGGAAAATGTAGGAAATGTGTTTGATAACTCTTTAAATCAAAAAAAAGGAATAAGGAGGAAGCCAGTGAACATTATTTGAAATCAGTTTTTTACCGTTTTTCTTTTACAGGAAGCACGATAGTTTCTGATGGTTTCTTCCATAAGCTGAATATCTTGTTTACATATGTGGCTTTAGTGATCTGTTTTCTTTCTCTATTTTTGACATTTTAAAAACTTAGTAATGCAGTGAACTACCTTAGAAGTAATGCACATTTAGAGCAAGATCCAAGTTTAAAAATGTCTTGAAAATCAGGATAGATGTGCTTTTTTAATAGCAAGACTTTACAAACACAACATTAAGCGTCTTTTTTAAATCTGAGATGAAAAAAATATTCTTACCACCTCTATTTCTTCACTTTCAGTCACTTAATTCTTGCTGCCTTTTTCCTCCAGATACAACCAAAGTTCATCCAGCTTTATAAAATCCCAAAACCACATCCACATCAGCCTGAAACACAAGCAGGACCAGCTCTGCCTCCCATCACACATCTGAGCTCTGAGATCCTCTGCAGGTCTGTTTCTGTCACACTACGGCTGAAACATGATCCAACGCTCATTCTCCGCACAATACAGAGTAATCACCACCGCTGTAACCTTGCAAAGAGATACTGCTATCACCCACTTCTCCAAAAACTGGGTCTCACCTGCTCTGCTTCACATCAGCGTCACCCAGAAAATCGATAAAAAGTGACTTTGGTCCTCGGAGTGACCAACAACTGAGTAAATATTAACAAGTCCTCCTCCCGTCCTTGGACGACAAAAACAGACTACTGTTTCCAGCAGCAGCAGCAGATGAGTCAACATGTGTCTGCAGCTCTGCTCTGTTCCCACCTGTATCACCCCGAGCAGGAGGCTCTCTGTTCTGCTAACCTTCCCTCCCAGGTGGATAATATCAGGCCTGTATTATTCGGCTACACACTGAGAGCGCTGCCAGGTCCTCTTGTGTCCCACAGCCGCAGGTTGGACCTCTGGGAGCATGTAACCTGAGCAGGGAATTCCTCTCTGTTTGGCATTCAGTAACACGATACCGAGACATTCTGTCCTCTCATCCTCTCTCTAAGGAAATCTCCTGTGGATAAAAGGCTGGGCGGGCATGGTGCCAGTGAATGAGAACTTGTGTTTGCTCTCTGCGAGCTTTAAAACTGTGTACAGTATAAAATTACAGTCTCACAAAGAGATTTTTGGCTGTCACACAAAAGGCCAGACTGTCAAAAGCTGTGTACTGCTAAAGGGCAACTCCTTTCTTTACTATTTGCTTTATGCAACATTCACGATCACGAACAAGGGTTATGCAATTCATCGCAGAGATTTGACATGTTTCTAAGTGCTGCAGGGAAAGATATGGCACACTTGGACAGCGATCGGGCAAAGCAGACACTTAAGCGCTGCCAAAAAGATGACAGTTTTAAAGGCTCGTCCACATTCTTCGCTTTACAGCCGACCACAAGTGACTGAAAACTTTCCAGGACTTTATGATGTGCTTTGTTTCATCCTGAGGAGCATCTCACTTTGACAATCCTGATGTTAAAATATCAGGTTCAATCAGCTCATGCCTCCAAAATCAATCAAACTTATAATTTATCACATGCGCCAAGTTGGTCTGTACTTACGAGATGTTCTCATCATTCAGCCGAAGTGCTTCATATATCCGTCAAGACTTTATATCGTCCCTCAGCGTGTCAGAGCATCTTCATTCCCACACTGAGCCACATTCCTGCTCCTGCTCTGAACACAGCTCGAAGTTTGAGCTCAGATCCTCAGCTCCTTCTCTCCCCTTTCTCTTTCCATCTACCCCCAACCACCATGTGCCTGCCCCAACACTAAATCTCTCCTTCAATCCTCCCCTTTCTGTGGCATGTCTCTCCCCCTTCTCCCCCTCCCCCTCCGCTCCTTGTGCCCAGCCCTCCTACCCAGCTCTGCCCATGACAACTCTTTTATGCCCCACTCAGCACATTTTTGGCAAAGACCTCAGCTGCGACGTTGCCTCTGAATTCTGGGAATCTTCTTGTAATTCAAGGCTGTGTTTTTAAACGACTTCCACGGCTGATATGTTTCTTTGTTTTCAGTTATTTTGGCACAGATTTCATGAAGTCAGCTCTTGCAATCTTTTGAAAATATCACTCAAGAACTGTGAAAACTGTGGGAAAAGTTCCATTAAAACAAACAAAGGGGAAGCGGCGTGGTTTCGGAGGGTCCAGATGTTGTTCCAGCAGCTCTACGAAATGGAAAAAAGCGTAGGCAGCTGAAGTAGGGGGGGAAAACCGTGACATAAACTGTCAGCAATCAGCAGCAGTGAATCATGCTGAGGCACACGGCTCACAAGACTTAACGCTAACATCATCACGGTGATATATTTGTCTGTTTCGCCTCCGTCTCAGCCTCTTTGTCTGAGGAAAAGTCAATGAATGAGAGGATCTGTGTGATCTGTGTCACCTGAGACGGTGAGGTGTTGTGGGTCAAAAACAAAGAATGACTTACAGCAACCATACGTGAAAAAAGACTTCCTGCTTCTTTGTTAAACAGAAGCTGCGAATCTTTTCTAAACATACAGGTATAATGAAAAAAAATCAAAGTCTCCTGTTATCACAAAAGCACAGACCTAAATGTGATTCTGAAAAATCTCATATTTTTGGCTTTTCTTTAGACTTACGGGGTGAACAGAAAAATACGAAAGAGGAATAGGGCCAAGAGAAAAAATTATTACAGGAGGTAGATATTTTTTATTTCCATTTCAAGATCAAAGTTGAAATTTGAGATAAAAAACGAAATTTAAAAAGTTGAAATGAAAAAAAAATAAATAAATTGAGGTCAAAGTCGAAAGTTGAGTTTAAAGTCAAAGATTAAAAAAAATCAAAATTACGTAATAGTAATTACTTAAGAGAATAAAGTCATATTTAAGTCATTACTCAACAACAGAAAAAGTCATCGTAAAGTAATAACTTAGGATAATTAAGTCGTATTAAAGTCATTACTTACGAGAATAAAGTTGTTAATAAATCATGACTTATGAGAATAAAGTCACAATAAAGTCCTTATATTCTAACCTGTTGTTTAAGAAGACAGTTGTTGAAATGAGAGCCATGGAGCATTTTGTGAAAATGTACTTCAATATAGGTTTCTCAAACAAGGAGATACTTCATCTTTTTGCACATCAGCACCACATTATCTTAAGTATCATAATGATTTTACTGTGACTTTATTCTTGTAAGTAATGACTCTATTCTCATCTATTGATGACTTTCTTCCCATAAATTAACGACTTTAATCTCAAAGTCTAATTCTTTTTCTTAATGTGGCTCTAATACTCTGTCTTGGAAAAAACAAAATGAAAAAAAAAAAAAGCTTCAACCAAGAAGAAAATCAAAGTCACACATCACTGAAGTTGGAGAAAGTTTTTTTGGATTCCTACTGGGGATCTTTGCGTTTGGTCAACTCACCGATTATATGTCGACAACTTTACCAGGCAGCACCAGAATGTCTGTTTGGTTGGTTGGAGAAGTTATTGATGTTTTGATTAGTGGCTGCTGGGAACATTCCTGATTCCTACTGTGTATTTTTCCTTTATTTAAACAATTAAGAAGTCTTGACCTCTCCCATCTATCTGTTAAAATAGAAATCCTTTATCATCTCTTCCATAAGTCTGTCGTATTTTCCTATTTCACTTTTACATTTGGTTATGAAACGTGCAGTGACAAAAGTCCATGATGAATCAGGAAAATCCATTTTTCAGTGTGTGGGCAGACCGAGCAGAAATGACTGGGTTTACTGTGGCACCATGATTACATAAGGACATCGCAGCTATCCATCATTTCCTGGAGAATAAGTAGAATTCCATGTGCAGTCCTCCTCCTCTTCTTCTTCTTCTTCTTCTTCTATGTCTGTTTTTTGTGACGTTTTTGCCATTTCCTCTTGTAAAACACAACTCTGAGGCCAGGACTGGGTACAAAGCTGCGAGCGCAGACAGACTGACGCAGGCGGACCACTTTAGTCACCTTAAGAAACCTTATAACAATAAATACACTGAGTGTACAACAGAGTTTTAAAAGCACTCTTAAACAATCTACGTAAATTCAGCCTTTACAAATGTGCGCCCTCTCCTCCCCCCTCATTCGCCGTGCTGAATGAATCAGCCAGACCAGCCGGCTGAATATATCAGTCAAAAAACACACAGACTGTAGCTGAGGGCTGAGAGCGTCTGTATCAAAAACACCTGGAGGAAGACGGAGACAGAGACAGGCAGCGAAATGAGGAGAGAAAAAATCCAGAGGTGGGCTGGCTAAGCTGGCTGAGAGGTGTCGTCACGCTGGGAGGCACGGAGCACAGACCTCTCTCTCCCTTTATGATGCTAATTGCACACAGACACCCACTCACTATGAGCAGTCAGCCTTACTGTAAAAGTAAGACCAGACAGACAGCCAGGGGAAACACACGGCCCCCTCTGCAAGTCTACTCCAAAAACCACAACATCTGATGTCTCATGCCCAAAATAGCCTCACATTTCCTCCCGTCTCACAGAGTGGAATTGTTCACAGGGGAGCAAACAGGAAGAACAAATAACGATGGAGGATAACACACAAAAAAAAGACGTACGAGATGACCAAACATGATTGTAGGCACAGGATAAGGCGCAGGAGAGATCTGTTGTGTGTTTGTGAGGGTTCAGGTAATCAAAGGGGAATGTTGAGATTGCACAAGGTGGATTAATGCTGCCCCTGAAGTCGTGGGAATAAAGGCTGAGCAGGTTTTTAATTAACAAAGCTCTACATGTCCCTCAGACTCCAACGTTCGCGGCACAATGGGACACAATCATCGGCGTAACAGGAGGTTCAACTCGGTGATTTCACGACACATCCCCCGGTTCGTAGTGTTCTCATCATCAGGTGCAAAGAGATAAGGTGTCCAGACTGAGGACAAAAGCCAAATCAAAGAGATAATCTGTCTGCAGAGGTGAGTAACAACACAGATCCTTTTGTTAATGTGACTTCTTCTCCTGATTCGGTGATTGGCACATGAGCTGGCCGGCTCCACAGGCCGAGTAATTACAGAGAGAGCCGCTGTTGAATCATTCACTGACTTCCAGCCCCCTTCATTTGACACACAGGGGACCTGTTATTCTGCACTCGACACGGGATGCAGCTTTTAAATGATCGGCTCCGGGCTGCGTTGCTAAGACAACAAAGTAAAATTTCCTCAAATACAAATGAGCCAGCAAATCCCGGGCCTGCAATTGCCCTGTGGTCTAGTGTGACCTGTGGAGAGCCGCATTCAGAGGACCTCAGGTCTCCAGTGACAAGGTGGTTTACAAAGCAGACAGCAATGCCTCCTGCGGGACCGGACTTCAGGACAAACACAGGGCTAACCAGCCAGCACAGGAAAAGCCAGAGCCAAGGAGGTATTAGCATTCAGAACCTGCGGGCCAGGACCTCGACAACACAAAACCACTTCCTACCTTTTAGATCGACCTTTTAAAATCAGCACTGGAGTCAGTTTTCTCTCTGAGGGATCACAGGTACAGTTTCCTGCTCAGGTTTAAGTCTGATTTTGTGTTTTTTAAGCCCAACAGTAAAAGACCGGGGTCCACCTTCCCTTCACAGCACACACACACACACACACACACACACACACACACACACACACACACACACACACACACACACACACACACACACACACACACACACACACACACACACACAGCAAGAGCTTATTGATTCTGAGAGTAAATAACACGACTCTGTGAGCCGAGGAGCTGCTGTTGTTGACCGTTGCCAAAGCCTGCTGGGTCAAAAGTCATGTGAGCTGTGTTTTTCTCTAGAGGTCCTGTATTGAATTCAAACAAGAGCAGCACAGCTGTGGTAACACTCGCCTTCACCTCTGAAGGACACCCAGAGAGAGGCAGCTTTCATCTTCACATACAACAGCCCTTAACTCTCTCTCCCTCTCTCTCTCTCTCTCTCTCTCTCCCTCTCTCTCTCTGTTGCTCTTCATCTCTTTCTTCAGTCTGGAAATCCCACCGACTTTCCACATAACTTATGGTAAAACAAAACACGGCAATGATGATGACACCAAAATACCAAGACGGTGGATTCACATGTTCCTGTACCAGCTCAGCACAGGTTACCAGAAATCTTACACAAAGGCAAATGTTAATTCATTTCTGTCGACTTTCTTAAGGAGATTAAATCAGAAGGAGTCACATGGTGAAGACAAGTCTCCAAAACAGTTGTCCAACTGTGGAAAATGACTTAAAGTGTTTCTAAAAACAGACAATACATGAGCCAAAAGTCGCTAAAGGCATCCAGTGAGAGGAAAGGGAAAGGATTTAAGAAATCCCACTGCCAATAGGATTGTGATTATCGTTATAAAGGCCTTAAAAAACAAGAAGTAAAATCTTAAAGGGTTATTCCAGCATAAATTTAAGTTAGGGTCTAACACACCATAACACCTCCTTGAGAGATGAATGTTGCGACTGCTTGCTTCTCTAGTTATACCAACTTCAGCAATGACCGCACAATAGCAACACACAGAGGTCTACATCTCCATGTGCAGACCTCGACCAAAACGCCACTCTATAACCACAAATAATGCTCAGAAAAGCACCTAACTTCATCAACAGTACAGATAGGGTCCCAGCCACAGCACTAGCCACCGAACATCTTTTTAGCTTTGCCTAATTTCTTTAACAAAGAGACTAAACACAACCCACTTACTCTCTTCCAGCAGCCGCTTGTATATGGGGGAGCCCTGATTATCATATTAATCATTTTGCACTGCAGACGCTGTAGTTCCTCTGCCTTAGCGTTTTGGTCTGATTGCATTTGCATGAAGAAATTATAAATGTTCTTCCTTGAGCTGCGAAACTCTGCTGCAGAGTGGGTGAGTTGTGTTTAATCTCTTTGATAAAGAAATCAGGCAAAGCTTAAAAGATGTTTGGTGGCTCGTACTATTGCTGGGACCCTATATGTCCTGTTGATGAAGTTAGGTGCTGTTCTGAGCATTATTTGTGGCTATAGAGTGGTGTTTTGGTTGAGGTTTGTTTATGGCTCCTCAGACCGCTGTGTATTGCTATCGTGCGGTCGTTACTAAAGTTGGTATAAGTACAGAAGCAAGCAGTTGGCAAAATTCATCTCTCGACGGGGTGTCTAACTTGGTGTTATGGTGTGTTTGACCATAACTTAAATTTACACTGGAATATCCCTTTAAGATCAATTCAGAAACTGGGACTGGTGTTACATGATTACTTCTCTTGCGATGTGTTATTTCAAATGAGCAAAACAGAACTGCTGTCAAAGGTAAGGTTAGAATCAGGAGGAGCACGTAAACAGCAAATAAGAGCGGACCCAAAACAGATCCCAGAGGGACGCCACGAGTTGGAGAATTACTGACGGATGAGGCATTTCCAAGCATTACAGAAAAAGACCTGCCTGACAGATACGAGATGAATCAGTCCACTAAACCATGTTTGAATTACTGATGTGACAGATGGATGTCAACTCTGAGAGGATGAGCTCTGATGTGGGCTTCATGGCTTCTGAGAACATCAAGTCTTTAATGTCCAAACTGTCAGCTCAGAGCAGTGTCTCACACTCGCTCCATTTTGAGAAACTGTCCTAACAACCACATGCTGACTCCCGCAGTCATTTAGCAAACTGAGGGAAGTGCGGAGCGTGTTCCAGCTTCACAGACAGGTGTTCTTCTTCCCCGTGACGACAGGATCCTTCTGCACGTGACCTCCAGAAAACTGTCTTTCACAAGAAAAGGGACTTCTGAGCTCAAAATACAAAAGGAGGAGGAGGAGACAGCGTGGAAACTTCCCCATCCTCAAGTACCTCCACTTCACTGCCAGGCAGCCTCTCAGAAGTGAGCAGAAATCAATCAGCCCCAGAGCTTTCTGTGAAATACATACTGCAGTCACTTCCAAAGCACACGCTAAACACTTCCAGACGCTGGATCACGGCCATGTTCCCACGCACATTCGAGTGTTTTGGCAAGGCTTTTATGAAGGATTTGCTTTCTTTGGTGATAATAAAACATCAACTTTGGCTTTTGGGAGATTTCCTTTTTCATTTCACCCAGGCAGAACTCGGACCCCTGGACTTTTCATCTTTGCAGAGCTATGATTGTGCAAGTTGTTCGACTGAAATTATTTGCAGGAGCCACAGTACAATAAACAATACAGGTTGGCCAGTGATAACACATATATAGGCTTGCTTTTTATTATGAAATTTAAAAGCGTTGTCCTTCTTATCGATGTGACGTTTCTGATCCCGATTCAAAGATATAGTTTTATTAAAGTGAGCTCCTCAGACATAAAATCACCATGACGAATCTACCCAGGAAGCGTATAAGCAATAAGGTTGCATGATCGAACTGATAAGAAGAGGTATTACACCCATGGGTATCCACAGATGTAAGCCTTTGAAACTTCAGTCTTCCTCCTCTCTGAGCCAGACTCTTGTCTGAGCTTTTACAGTTTTTCTCCCTCCTTTTTGAACCAGCTCCTTAAGGTCCGCTCCTGCAGAGTCCCCTGTGGTCATACACTTAACTTAGACCTAAACCAACATGTACCACAAGTCCCTAGAGGTGTGTGTTTGTGTGCAGCAGCCTGATCTGAAGTCCAAGTACAGAGCAGTGGGCTGCATGCCTCACCATGTCACGCTGTTTTTCTCACTTGTAATATACGGTTGTGTGGCTGTAATTCTTCCGTCTCTTTGATAGCCTATATAAACACTGTAATTTCGTTTTTCCGAGAGCGCTGTATAACATAACCTATAGCAGGATGACTGTGAATTACTGACAAAACACGACCCAAAACCCTGAGTCAAACACGGAAAAAGACAGACTGGTGGAAAGTTATCGACACATGTTTCACAAGTTCTGGTGGCAGCAGAAATCAAACATCTGAAGATAAAGGAGAGCTCTGTGTCGCAGATGCTAATGAGGGGAAAAAAAGGTCTATAAACCCACAAATGTGTGCCCACAGCCGTGTGAAGTACAGGATACGCATAAAAACATCCCCTCTGAAGTCCAACCCTGCAGCCCTCCATAAGGTCCACCTCCTGTTCATTTGGACCCGATCCCAGAAGGGGACGACACAGGTTCAGAGGGGAGAGAGGGGGTCCAGTGTCAGAACAGGAGCCCCTACCGTGAGAAAGCCCGCCACAATAAAAGCGCGGACGGAGCCGTCCCTAGGGATGTGAGTCCTAATTAACGGATCAAAGTGAAGAGCCACCGGGCAGATTCAGGAGCACGTCCCTAAAACACATCATGAATATGTGTGTTGAGAGGGTGTTCTGTTTTATCAGACACACACTCACACTGAGCGTTAATAGAAAAATGCAGGGTTGTTTTTCAGAGATGGTTGTCAATGACAGGCTGTGCTCACAGAGTCACTCCTAAGACGAAAGGCCAATAAAATGAGGAGACAGCGGCTGAGTGTCTGAGGGCTGGATTCATGTCGCTTCTGTCAGTTTTTAATGACGTCTTATGCGAGTTTTTAACCACAAGGGGGCAGATCAGAGCTGAACTCTGGCATGTGCGTTAAGCATATGAGAGGAAATGTGCTAAATATAAACAGCCTCTCCAATACATGTGATGTGAAACAACTACTGTGCAAGATATCTGATCAATACAAATCAGTGTCGGACATCATCTGACACTTCATATCTAATCTGTCTTTGACATATTTTCTCTCAGATGTAGGAATCGGTAATATTGATGAAATACTTTAATATTCAGATAAATCTCTGTGCATGCTTCTGCCTCAATCCTGGACTAATCCTTCGATCTCATACAGAGTGAAAACTTGGGTCAAAACATGTCAAGTTTGTTATTTGCAGGAGTCGCTCACTGAATGAGCAGTTTTCTAATCTGAGGAATGTAAAAGTCCTGAGAGCAGACGGAGCTTTCCATCATGACTCTGTTAATGTGTGACTTTGTGCAGCTGAGGCATTTCTGAAATCTGCTCTCTGTGAATGATTAACTCTGCACACATGGCAGCTGTCATCCACTCTGGCTGTATAAGAAGAGGAACATTCATATACAGGAGGACGTTTACAGTACGGACATGAGATCAGCCTGCCCCCTGCAGGCTTAAAGTGAGAAGAGCTTTGTCAATGTGACCTTTATTTATCAGGGGCTGGCTGGATTGAGTCGGTTTGTTCTCAACTGTTAACAGATTCCTGAATCATTCACTCACACAGCTGGAAATAACCAACGACTGCGAGCCAACTGTTGGAGTATCTGAGCGCAGATATGTCTGGAGAGAATCACTCAGAGGTGCAGTTACCGGTTATTCAGCGATCACTGATTGGAAAAGAATTTAAGTTTAAATTGGACTATTTTTTTTCCTGTTCAGCAGGCCTATTTGTTTTCAACAATTCAGTAACTCCTCTGGATCCTGCTCAGCAAAAAGTTGGGAAAAAAAGCACAACTATAATAACTCATTTCAATTTAAAAATCCATCATGATTGATCTACATGCTTAGTCAGCTAAATTAAACACAGTCGTTTCTTGGCGTTCGATCAGTCAGATTGATCGCACTACCCAGAGCTGTAGTTCCAGTTGATTCCACAATGTATAACACTCTACTATCTGGGGATGGGAGATAAATTATCGTTCACAATATATCATCAGAAAAATCCTCGTTGATAAATATCTGTTAACTCATGATAAATACGATAGAGTGGCAGACTCGCAGCCATAGCCCACACAGAGCAGAATAAGAAACAAACATGGCTAAAGGTGATGAAGAAGATGTTTCAGAGAAGCTCGTGACTGAACGAGGCTCCACATGAGGGATTTCCTTCAAGATTGGAGCTTATACAAGTGACATCAGGTAAGTCCGACATCAGACAGTGGATCTTCTGCTGTTCACTCTGTGCAATAAGAGTTTTCAACAAATGTTGAAAATGTTTTCACACTTGAGACTTGTTTGATGTCATTTGTTTTGATTTGTTTTCAGTGATTTGATTTGATTCCAACTGGTGTTCTCAAGACAGAATGAGTCAAAAATATAGATTGGAATTAGAATATTTTTTATTGTGACTTTTATCGTTATCACCAGGATGGCAAATCTTATCGTGATAAATCATTTTAGCCCTTATCGCCCTTCCCTATCATCTACTATCTGGATGTAAACAAGAACAGATGCACAGACTGTATCAGGCTGAAGTAATGCCGCATGAGTGAGTCTGGACAAAAAGCCTTAAAGGAGTACTCAGCTTAATCAATCTGACATGTTTACCCACAAAACATATCTGTGCCACGTCCATTACATATTGGTTTCATAAATTAATACTGGAAACACACGTCCATGTTAAACTCTAGCATGCAAAAGTAGATGTTAGACTTTGACTCATATGAACTTCAGACAGAAAACGCAGACTGTTTTAGGTTCAGCTTGTCACTAGATCACTCACTGCACAGTCAAAGTCAATGGAAATGACTGTACCACAGCACTGTTATAAGATCCCATTACACCTGTATCTTCTACTCGTATTCAGGTATGAAGTATCAATTGATTTAAATATATATGAGCACAAATGAAGAGTACAAGCCCGGGATTTAATTAGTTCAAGTGCGGTGCCACTGGTGTTCGAAGTACACAACCTGTTAATCACATTGTCAAATTGCTTTCCACTCCTTGTCAGGGGTTATTTGCTGCCCTCTGAAGGCAGCAAACAAAATCAGCATAACAATCAGCTCCACAACAGAGCGCCTCATGAATAAAAGATCAACCTGGTCTGTGTGTAATTAGTAAACAATGCAGAGGGCTACATCTCCACTTATCATCAAACCTCCGTCTGAATAAAGGAGCATTTATGTTTGTTTCACACACACACACGATCTAATGCGCCACATGTTGGAGCAGACCACGGATGAATAATTCAGAGCGTTCGGAGAGGAGTCTTGAGTGGAGAGGACAGAGTCTGACCAGATTCCACACCTTGAAGAGCCTTTTTTAGCCTCACAAAGACAGGACAATACCAACCCTCCTCTGAGCGGGCTTCTGACAATTATCCTTTAACAAGAAGAGGAGGAAGAGGAGGAAGAGGGGCAGAGCTAGTCCTCTTAACAAGCTGGAGAGTTCCTGTCCTCTCTCTGCTGAGCATTTACAATCTACAAGTATGCAAGTGTTACTCGCTATTATCCCGCTTAGAAATGCTGTACTGCTTTAGTCATAAAGTTTAATCATTTTTAAAAAGTACATAAAGATGTGAACATACAGTACACACAGGAATACATGTGAAAAAATCGTCTCTGTGTTCCAGGATCAGAACAAATGCGTCTGATGGTACGTTAACCTGAAAGACATGAACCCGTCAGCCATGACAGCTGGATAAAAGCTCGCCTTTGTGACCGCAGGACACAGACAGATTCATGATTCACACACAGCTGCTATGCAATAACTTGTGTCATTTGACAAGGGACACACAACGTCCTCCGCCACGGCAGAATGCTCTAATGGTCTTTCCAGGGTGCAGACCGGAGCCCGCTGGCTGCACCGAGGTCAAAAAGCCGAGCAGAAGTGCCACAGAGAGGTCAGTCCGGACAGAGTGTCTTCTCTGAAACACTACAGCAGCCCCTCAGAGAAGAAAAGACCCAAACAGACAGAGTCAGCGAGCGAGATTTTAGTCACGGTGGAGCGTTCAGCTGCTCGGGGTTTCAAATGAAGGCTTAAACTGAGGTACTTTCAGGGCGTAAACAATCTCTGAATATTTCTGGATCCCAAAGGGGCCCAGCTTGGAAAACAGCAGAGTTTCAAATAAATACCTTAGACTTTTAAGTCACATACTGGAGCATATTTGTTTATCCATGCATATTCAGATTTCTGCAGATCAAAATTCAACAATACAGCCAAACGTTAATGTTTATAAAATCCTACAATCCTCTTTTCTTTTTCCTTCATGGTGGCAGAGATAACTCACTGAAAATCAAGTCATGGTTTGACTGAAATAAGAGTAGAATAAGAGAGCATTAGACGTACACTATATCAAATGTATGAGAAGCAACAGCAGACTCAGATATTCTCAAAAATCTGGACCCCAGATGTGCCAAACAGCACGGAGCAGACGTCTGCAGAAACACAGCAGCCCGTCCAGATGAAGTGGATAACTCCTTCAAAATGTGAGGAATATTTTAAGGAGACACATTCCTCCACAATGAAAACAGGCCCTTTCTCCTGCACAGCTATCCCACTGTGCGGCTCTCACCCGCCTGTTTCTTTCTGTCCTACATCGCACAGCTGTGCATCGACATCCATCATCTCTCTGAACCTAAGAGATACACTCTGCAGAAGTTTGGGACCGAGGGTCTCGAAGGTCTGAAGTTTTTTCCTGGGACTTTGTTGAAAGCTTTTCATAGTGGACTGAATGAGACCCCATGCACAAAGAAGAGGCGGCTTTGAAACGCCATCAGATCGGAAACATGACTAAGACCCCGCAGGCTTCCCTGGAATTTGGGGTGAAACAATACTGAGTAACCGGGCCCATCACCGTGGCCCCCTCTCACTTTCAACCTGCTATGTCAACATGAGGGCCAGCTGGAATGCAGGAGCCACTGTGTGACACATGGAGATCAATCCTCTGGCTTGGACTCAGTCTCTGAAAACGTACCCTCTCTACGTCTGTAGGTGCCTCACATAAAACGAGACATGGGGAGTAAAAAAAAAAAACGTGATTCACACACAGAGGGATTAAATGCTGCTGGGAAAACCATGAGGAGCTGCAACAAAACAGCTTAACTGGGGCGTTTACAGCAAGTCAGATTAAAAAACTACAATTACCAGAATTAGGCATAATCACAGCACTCAAGCAGACGTGGATGAAGCATCTCAGTTTAATTTTTTCCTCACTTTTTAAAAAAAGTTGAAGTCACTGAAGTTTGTTCAAATGAGATGCCTAAAAGTTTATTATATTGTCAATTTGTGAAAGACATTTAAAATCTGTAACTTTAGGTCTATTTGCGAAGTAAGGTAACGAGCGTCCTTCCTGAATTTGATGTAGAGCTTGTTTTTTTCTTGTTGGGATGTAATCTGTGAATTTGTTCAGCCATATGAACTGCAAAGTGAAAATCATCACATCAAAAGTGACTGAATATATTTAATTAAATCTAACTAATTACAGAAATTTGTGACAAGAGGATAGAGCTGGGCGATAAACCGAAAATTTACCGTTACCGAAATTTACAACAATAACTGATGTCATTTTGCCCATATCAATATATTCGGTGTCAAAAAAATAAATAAATAAAAGTTGGTTTTGGATGTGTGTAGGTAGGCTATGGTCTCATGTCCTCTTAAGACGCTGTGCTTCGTCAGAGACGTGACTCCACCCCATCCAGTCCGTAACAAAGAGGGAAAGACAGGTGAGGAGATGGAGGACGGCTCAAAAGTTGTAGCGGCTGAAGTAGACGAAGTTAATGTGGGAGGGGGTGAGAAGCTTGTGGAGTAGTTATTGTCTATTTATCGTTATAGAGGTGAACTGCTTAATATATTGTGACATTGATTTAAGGCCATATCGCCCAGCAAAACTGCAGAGAAATGCCAAACTGAGCAGGGAAAGTAGAAAATAAATTAAAAGAGTGTGCCCGCACTAAACGCAGCAAAGTTAATTGCACATTACAAATAGTGAAAACATTCAGGGGAAGCTGTAAAAGTGCCTCAAAAACAAGAGTCCTAAACCCACCTCAAACCTGTACATATTTTGGGTCCTTGTCACAGCTGACCTAAATTGTTGGTTTACTGTCAAAGCAGACATCTGTAATCTCAAAACACACGCCAGGTTACATGACTGCACACGCCAGAAGACCTCCGATCATAAAGATTCCCCCTGAAAAAAACAACCTGATATGGGAAACTTTCACAAGAGTGCGCTCTGTGTTTCCCTCACATCGTCACCATCACATCGTGTCTCGTGTGTCGCCTCAGGCCGCTGTGGTCGTACAGGAAACATTGCCCACACAAGAGGCGGCATTATCTGACTCATGCCCTTGTTACAGTGACTGAGAGCACAACTATGCTGTGCGATTGCATCTTAAGATTGTTACTGGTGATGAAGCCTCCTCTGTTATAAAATACCACTGCCCTTTGATCCAGCGTGATCACACCTGCAGGAGGAGTCCTTTGTCCTCACTTTTGTTATGCTGCCCTGCCCCCCTCTTCCCAGGATTGACCTCAAACCTGCAGGTAAAAGCGAGGGAGGCTTCTCGCAGGAAGATGAATGGGAGGTCAGGCCATGTTGTGATGATAAAAGCCACCATGCAGATTGTAAAACTGTCAGGCTGGACATTCATTGATATCTCTATTTACTCTCAGGGCTTTCCTCGTGTTACATAACAAATCCCTAAGCTTATCGCCTCCCAACGTTCGTTAACGTCAGTCAATACTAATTATTTACCAGCACTGCACCCTTCACTTCATGATTGGCTAAGGGTCAAGTGTGTTTGTCTGCGTTGACACACTCCTCCACACGCTTTTGACATCTTTATGTCCTACAGAGATAATTCTAATTGGATTACCTGGGAGAGAATCAGCTGATCCCAAACAAAAACAATGTCCCTCATTTATCACCAGGTTCCCATGCGCTCATAGTCTCATATTCAGACTCATGCGTCATTATCTGTAATTCCCAGCAAGTACATAAAGAAGGATTCATCTTAACAGAACTTTAAAAAGTTTAATATCCCACATTTTTTTCCAAACTTCTCTCCTACCTCCAGCAATTTTCTTCAGTAGCTGCTGCCTGGCGATTATCCTCCCCAGCCTGTACCCTGAGCGTCTGCGGTGATGGTCCATCCTCAGGTAGATATCCTGAGTCTCTGGGGTCATACTCCCCAGACACTCGCTGCCCTCGGACTCCGGGAGCTCTCGAAACATAACTACAGCTGTGTTCGCCCCTGACTCCTGCTTGATACTCTCTCTAACCAACACTCACCGTCCCAGCAGCAGAAAACTTCACATCCAGGCGCAAAAAGCCTGAAGGGAGCTGAGAGGGACGGCAGAGCGGGGCTGAGGGGGAGGAGTGCCAACACTTCAGTCAGAGTCAGAGGGTCATGTGACTTAAGGCAGACCAATAGAAAGGCAGCAGAGAGAGTACTGCCCACCTTGCTGGGCTGAATCCAGTGTCTGTGTGAACGCTCGTCAACTTCCCCCTGCTCTGGAGGGAAATATAAATACCATTGGAATGCCGATGAAGTGAGTAAAGGGAGCAGAGGGGTGTGGGAGGGCTTACAAAAATAGTGGGTTTGGAGCCGCCCTGCACTAGAACAACTCCTCTGCTGTTGCTGCTCACACAGGTGCCAAGTTTACTGGGCGAGAGTGAGTCCGTGCCGTTTGAGAGAGAAAAGGGACAGAGAAGGGAGAAGTTGTTTTCCTGGTTGGAGAATGCTAATTTCTGCTCCCCCACCCCCACACACATCACCCCCAGCTCCAGCCACAGGAAGGCCTCTCAGCAGGTCTCCTCTGAGTGTCAGCTCCTCAGGGGGAAAAGAGACATTTTAGCTTGAATACATACGAGTGACCTGATCCCCTTTGGTTAACACAAAAGGAGAGATCAGACTCAGTCATCGGGTCAGATCTGACGGCGCTTCACTGACAGGAGTCAAAGCTCCAAATGTGTCTGGAGTCCGAATCAGACCCAAACTAAACACACAAGACCAGGAAGGCCCTTCAGATCCTAGAATGAAAACACTTGGGATTGCTGCTTTTAGCTAAAACGCTTTTCCATTTTGTAATGAAAGTAGACGATAGATTTGTTTGCTCACATTTTCCTAACACTAGCTGCATTTACATGGGCACATATAATCGGAATAAATGCCCGATCGGAATAAAAATGCGTCATGTAAACACGTCGATCAGAAGATTCTGATCCAATTTCGGCTCAATTGGAAAGAAATTGTATTCCGATCGAATGCCTCTAATCTGAATAAAACTTGGAGCATGTATACGCACATACGTCATGATTGGATTATTTGATTTTGCACCCATATAAACAGTAGATTAGGATTATCTGATCCCTCAAATTTTTGATTGGATCAAGAAATTTTGCCCATGTAAACACGGCGAGTCACAAGACCTAAAAACAACAGAGGTATGATCAGTGACATGAACAATTACTACCAAAATAAGTGCATGTATGAGCTACTTGTGTATATATTGTGTTGATAATTGAAAAAATGTACGTAACAATTCGACTTGTTTCATTTTTCAGCTTTCGTGTTGCCTGTCGACTAGCTTTCAATCTTCATCATTTTGAACCCCTTAAACTCTCCACTCCTTCAGACAGTTTCCAACATGGAACAACAACAATCCCCTCACACCTGAAATAAAGTCCACATCCACACAAGCCAACCCACCCAACACCACCCGGACCCCTGCCAGTCTCCTTTAGACCGTCCTGGCCTCTCATACAGGCCTGCCTGTGTCGTATGAGCATGGCGCCATACATGTGAATTAGGCGCAAATGGGCAGGAGACCAAGTCAAACACAGCCCCTGTCTGTTTCTCTGGCTGGCTGGCAACATCCAGCCCAGCTTTAGCTCACAAAGAGCACAATTCAGCAGCACACTTCAGAGCTGCAGCAGGTTTTTTTTTTTAAACCTCTCCTGAGTTTAATGACTCTCTCCACACCCTCAGGTGGAGCTTTTTTTAACATGAGATTGTTGCTTTTCGGAGGTACGAGTTTGTGGTGCGACTCTATTCAGGTGATTTCATTGGGCTGTGACTCACTTTTTACTCACACAAACACCTGTGTTCATTCATACAGTAGAAAACGCCGCTTCAGGTGTCTGATGCTGCAGAATGATTGGCGGCGTGCTGGCAACAGCTTGATCTCCTTGAACCCATTTCTGTTTTCTTCCTCCCTCCTCGTCTAGACGATCAGAGTCACAGAGTGCATCACACGTATCGTATTACCGAATCAATCACCCGCTGCTGAATGAGACAAATGTTTTTTTTTCGTCTCAGAGGGCGCTCAAATACCTCAGAGAGGATTGTGACAGAGCTACAAGATCTTCAGCAATCTCTTCAGAGGTTCAACTTTGTGCTGCGTGCCATGAAGAGTCGGCAGTGGAGTGCCCTTCATGGCAGCGTTGTGTGTCAGGCACAGGGACTCAAGCCCTTATCAAACTTGTTCCAACTCGCCTCTGTCTGGGTTTCAGAGCTCAAATGCTATACAAGACGGAAACAGGAATCCAGACTCACATTACATACGTATACAAAAACATAATGAGGCTGAGGGAGAGGCCTGATTTGACTGTTCACCACAAAGAGGGCTGTAAATGTGACTGCGTGATGACAAATTGAGCCCTCTTGAAATGTCACAGTTATTCAGGGTTTTAATGGACGTCCAGCCTCCGTTTATTCACTACTCAGGCACTCAGCTTCAGTCAGGTGGGATTACAAAAGGGAAACTTATATTTCTGAGTCACGCAGCGCGAGCTCAGGCCCACACACATGATGACGACGAGTGTGGAGGAAGATGATTTGGGTTTTAGACGCTGCTCTGATGTGGTTTGATTCCTCAGCAGTCACATGTAATCTGCACTGGCCAGTCCTAGCTCTGCTGCGGCTTGGTTTCCTGGAGCTCAGGATTAAGAATAGCACCAGGATGACGGGAGGTTTCCACCTTAGGAGCCACCAAATGTCTCAATTCTGAGCTCAGGTCTGGGAGTAAATCGCGCTTTAATACAGCGGGACCGGCAGAGCTGTTCTGCAGGTTGTAGAGGCTCTGAGGATGAGGTAATGGGCGCTCTGCTGCAACTTTCTGAACATAGCTCAGCTGTGACTCCACACAGAGAGGATCATTCACTTAATCAGAGCTTGACGAGGTGTTACCTAATATGTTAAAGCTCTCACATGCACATAATTAATACACAATACAAGGAAAGATACCTATCATGATTTCACGACAATGTCCACCTTTTAAGGACTTTCTTGTCCTCTCTTCTCTGTCGTTCAAAGACCTGATGAAGAGTTGTTTCCACGCCAATCCTTGCCAAATTAAAACCTATTAAAACAGCTTTTATTGACTAATGCACATTACTGAAGTCGACAATCAGTTTTAAGTCACTGACTGCATCGTTGTGAAGAAAGTATCTGTATGATAGGGCTTTTTTTTTTGCCTCAAATGAGCCACCGCCTGCGATTTGAACGACAAGAAGGAAATTAATTTGGAAAATTTAAAATCAAAGTCAAAATTTCCACATTAAAAAAAATCGAAATTATGTCAATAAAGTCTAAAGTTTGAGATTAAATATTGAAATTTTAAGATTGAAGTCGAAATTTTGAGATTACTAAAGGTCGAAATATCATACATAAAGTCAAAAGTACGACTCTTTTAAATTTCAACTTTAATCTCGAAATGGAAATGTAAAAAATCTCACTCCTGTAATCATTTTTTCTCTTCTTGTGGCCCTTATCCTCTATCATAGATTTGTCATATCAACTCTCTTAGCTAGCAACAACATCTCCACTGAGCTAGGACTAAGTTTTCAGGGGTCTACTTAGAAACGTGAACAAATCCAGAGGTCTTATCTGTAGCACGCTCATGTGGAGGAGAACAATATTCGCACCCTTGTTCCTCTATGTATGTAGCTCAAGGTCTCGAATGCAGAACCTGCCACATGTACGACACAAATCCCTGAGATTCACTTATGAAAATAAAACAAGTATTCAGACCTCTGCGTGACTTAAGCTTCATGCATTAGATAAATCAACTCTGAGAGGAACAGCAGCTGTGAATCCAAAACATCTTTAAACACTTCAATACAAAGTTCATTCAAACTCTGAGACAGAAGTCATGCATGAGGAGCTGCTGTGGTCATTCACTGCACCTGGTGGTATACTTAAGTTACTGCACATACCATTGATTCTCAGCCATATAATCTTCAATATGTGTCTTAGATTTACCACAAAGTATCTTCAATATGATACACACCCAGACAAGCTTATTTTTTCTTTAAGGATATCTTTCTTTTTATAAAAATCAATCTTCTAATTTGTGATTTTATCCTTTTGTCAGCCTCATAGAAACACAATGTCTGTCTGGAAGCACTTCACTCCAGGCTTCAATAACACGATTTGCTATTTCAACATGTTCTAGAGACAGGTGCATTTTAAGAGGCTGAAGAAAACATGCAGTGGAGACTCACTGCTGGAAAACTACAAGGTCCAAAGTTAGTCAGAGTAAGTTTTCTTAGAGAGTGACAAGAAATCAACCAAAAACATGTATAAATTGATCACAGACATAAGTTCAATGTCTTTAATCTACTGTCTGATGGTCCCTATTATCTCTGGTCTGTCATGCACCCTATACTGCAGCTCAAATTTGGCCCATTAGCGCCACTCTGCGGCAGAATGAGACGCGTGCTCATTCATAACTGATAGACTGAATATCATTATGCGCAAAAACACACATGGTAAGATCTCTGTGCACGAAAACAAAAGCGCAGAGGTTCATGAAAATGCTCAGAAGTCTGTGAAATCTCATTTTGGTGACTCCATCCAAACGCGCACAACTCTCCTCCACTCCACCAGGTGATCTTTAAGTGTCTCATTTTAAAAATGAAAGTGTGCGCGCATTTACGATCATTCGTGTCCTTTTGGAATAAACATGCTTTTGCAGTGCACCCAAATTTTAAGTCACCATAAGAGAAAAAAACGTCAAATAAAAACGAAACTTGAAACCATCTCTAAAGCGTCTTTTGGGGAGGACGACTTTTTGGAGACCCTTTACGCGAACCAAACTCATTAGGATCAGTGGGCTCGTAATTATGGAGATGTTCGTGCAGGTTTGTCGGTTCGTGGAGCGGGTTACTGACCTGCCAGTCTCCGCTCCCTGACATTCCTCCACAGAAGGTCCCAGGCTTTGGACGTGGAGCTCCGCAGCTGCTCGCTGAAGGACCTCCGGAGCTTCAGTTTCGCTGAGTTTCTTCTAGATGTCATCGCAAATCCTCCACGCGGACATAATACCCAAATCCTCCTCGTGCCACTGCCACGCAAAACCGCTGTGATGAAGTCTGAGTGAGAAATTCACCTTTTGCTTTTCCCGGTTATGAACTTTCTCTCTCTCTATGGGAGCGAACCTGACTTTGGAGTCGGCTCTCCACACAAAGCGGTCCACATTTTCAAGAACCGAAAAGTCTAAAACCCTGAATTATAAAACAAGTAACGAGCAAAAAGGTACAAAGTGATAGAAAACTTCCACACTTCACACCAGATGTGTGTGTGCGCACATGCGTCTGTCTGTGTGTGTGAGAAGTATCCACGCCAAACGAGCGCCTCTCAGCCGTGGTACCTTCAGGTACACTGGGAAACATGGGGATTGCCAACTAAGCACATAAGGTTCACATAAAAATACAAGACATGAGTGGGAAGTGGTTAGAGAAAGAGACTTTGGAGGACTGGTGGTTACAGCAGATGGTAAAACTGAACCTTGGTACATGCCGTTTGTCTTCAAGGTTATGTACGGATGATGATTGATTGGATTTTCTGTCTTTTTCAACATCTAGAGTGACACTTTTTGCGGTTCATGAAACAATTCAAAGCTCCACAGAGGCTTTTACTTGGCAATTTGTCATGTAATGCTTAAAGAACATCAGCAGGAGCCCTCAGTGTACATAATGTCCTGTCATGGTAATGTGAATACTAATGTTCCCTGCATGATAATTCCACCCAAACAGAACAGAACAGTCCTGAAAGTTCCCGTAAGGCTAGAATATATTAAACTTATTTCACGGGATAATTCGAGACACATCTGGCTCAGAATGGTCTGCTGAGAACAGAATACAAACTTATTTTTTTAAAGGCTCAGTCAACTGCGCACAAAATCATGTTAAAAGGAGGAACTTCGCATAAACTAAACTAGCCAAAAGCAGCACAGACAGAGCCAACCCAAGACATAAGCAAACCATAGTCAAAGCAAGCCAATAGGGGGCCCACCAAGAGCAATAAAAAAGGAAAAAATTGAATACTTTTTATTTTTTGCATGAATGAGTGATGCTTTCTGTATGATCAAATATATATTATTGTAAAAAATAAAATAAAGTTAAAACATTTTAGTGCTGCTGCTGATGTAGGCCTATGATTCTTACTGCCGATATGTCAAAGCTCTGCTACCGTTACGTGCCTTCTACTGAGCATCCAAGGCGCGGGTAGTTGTGGGGCAAAACAATATCGCTAAAAAGAACATATCCTTCAGGAGCAGAGACAAGAAAGAGGAAGAAGAGAAAAAAATAAAGGTATGTTTGCATGTCAAGAGATTTGTGAAGGTGTGTGAATGATCAACAATCAATATTATTGGCAGAAATAGAGGGCCTCAAAATCCAACTTTGCTTAGAGCCCCATTGAGGCTTGGGCCGGCTCTGAGTACGGATACAAAAATGCACATAAGACTCCAAATTTTGCTGATGAATGCAGCTTTACACCAGCATGTCAGTGAAGACGCCCCTAAATTAGTATTAACCATATGTTTTTAGAATAAGGGTTATGAATATCTTCAAAACTACTCTTGATTAAAACTTCCACACTAGTAAGTAAAGCAAACATGTCTTCATATGTAGAGCATTTAGAGTAAAAGATGAGGTGTTAAACCTGCAGTCAAAAGAAATGTGTAGTTTAGTTATTCTGCAGTTTCTAATTTCAGTGCAACATAGTCAGAGGACACAGGACTCTGAGTGAGAAAAAAACAGAGCTCTACATGGGGTACCTGAAGGCATCACAAGCTGCAAACCTCTCAACACCCCACCACCACCACTACAAACACACCGAGGCTCTCAAATGACACAACTCAAGACTCAGCGCTCACTTTCCTTATCCTGACTCGTTTCTCCTTTCATTGTGGAAGTAAAAGTAAAGAAAAATACTTCTACTTCTTATATTTCTGCAACCTTAAAGAAAAGCTTATATTTATCAACATTTGCATGATCAATACTTAAAGTTGTATTATAATATAATATTCAGCCAATGAAAGCTTTCGTTGTTGTTATTTCCACCTGCAGTTGTTTTCCTCATGGATGCCTCAAAAACATTCAACTAACGAAGACTTATATCGACTATTATAAGGATTCTGTCTTTATGATGGCTTCTGTTATTCTAAATCTCAGTGAAAGTTCAGCGAGTCGTCTCCAGGAAGATTAAAGCAGGTCAAGATTGTCACAGGAACACGGGCTCATAGTTTCAGCACCATTTACTTTTGTTGTCACAATATCTCCTGCTGCAGATACTCGATGAAAAAGGAGGAAACCTCAGTACATGTCCGCAGAATAAACACGATAAGTTCTTCAGTTACCTTCAACCCAGAATTATTTTAGGAATTTCTTATTATTATTATTATTCTTCTTATGCGTCCATTCAGACGGAGCATGACCTCAGAGCGATGATATCATATCAGCTGTCTTGTTCAGCGGCTGGGCTTACTAATATAACAGCTCTAATACCATCACAAACACACAGAGCGAGCGGCTGAAGATTGACAGTTTCTTAAATGAACAAATCTCCTCTGACCTCGGGTTGGCCCCCTCGGCATGAAGCTGAGCTAACATGACTTCATTTCAACGAGGAGACAGACCTCATTTGCCACCGAGCCAGGCGTCTGATTTACAGATTATTACAAGGTCACACAGTGGGACACATGAGCGCCAGGAGATTATTAATGAAAGGTTCGGTTTTCCATTTGTTCTGTCTGAAACCGGGCCAAAAACTGCATGTCGAAGGCAAGTGAGCACAATTAAAGAAACATTAAATGTTTATCTTTCCTGTGTTTGACACTCTTCTGTCTGCTTCTGGATCCAAATTGAGTTTTAACAAGATACACGTAGAAAAGATATGTGAGAAAATGCAGATTTCTCTTTGGTTCAGTGGAGGTCAGAGGGAGGAATGTGTCCAGCATGTTGCTATTTTCAGCCATTACGAGCCGAGACCCCAGGCTAAAATGTAGCTTGGAGGGCACATTTACACACTCACTCACACACACACACACACACACACACACACACACACAGATTGAGGTCTGGAGAACCTGTTTCATTTGATTGTGTCACTTCTGAGGAAGGGTCAGGGTCAGGCCGAGTCAAGCACCTTGTTTTCCGACGGTCACATGAACCAGGAAGCTTTCAGAGAAAAAGGCTGAAAGTTAAAACACAAAACGTATAATAAATTCCTCCTCAAGTCGAGATAAAAAAGGACTTTCCTAAAATATTCACTCGAAATGAAAGCCACTAGAAAGCAGACTAACGAACGAGTGTACAAGCTGTCAAAGCCGTAAACAAGACATCCACCTCCAGTCCCCGTGAGTGACACGGCAGGACAGGCCAGGTCGACAGACAATCCCGTCCCTGTCAGGAAAAGTGATGGAAGAAGCGCGGCAACAATCCTCTGACCTCTTTCGACATGAATCACCGCGGAAGTAAACACGACCCACCGCTGTGCCTCTCCTCTCTCGGACAACAGCGGCGATGAGCGTTATTGCAGCGAGTATCACTGTGGTGAGACAATGACTGAGCCTCTGCAGCGGTTGGAAGAAACAGCAGATGAGAGGAGAGGAAACATCCATCAGCCTGAGAATGTTTTCTCTCTGCTGACTCACACATGTGTTTGTTTTGGCCGAGGAGATTTTAGAAAGCCCTCAATTTCAATTTTCCTCGCGTTTTCAGGGCTGGTTTTTGGATATTTTATCCAACCATCTCCCTCATTATACTTTTACACACTTTTACACACTTTTACACACACACACGCTTTCATCTGTGGAGAAGTTATCTAACTTTTAGGGCTCATGAGAGTGTTTGTACAGTGGGAAAATCCCAGATGTGAGGAAACTGATTTCTCCTCCTCGATTGGGTCATGTTGTTGATGTTGTTGGCCAGGAGGTCTTACACCCCCTCCCCTCCAATAGTCTGGGAGACTGCTCTTCCCAGCCTAATGGAAACAAGGCTTGTTGAGCAGGGGGCGGGGGAGAGGGGGGTCTCCTCTCCACCTACACCCCCCTTGCCCCTGAAGGCTTGTCCCAGGCATGTGCTATAAATTTCCTGACCATATATTCCCAAGTCGAGTTCATTTTTCCAGAGGAGCCACACATGTGGTGTGTATCTGGATTTAGATTGTGGGGTTGGGGAAGGAGGAGCGGACTCTGGTCTCAATCCATTAAAGTGGCCACTAATTCTGTTTTCTTAGAGGTAACGTCATGGTTTCTTCCTTCGGTGGAGGTTGTTCTTTAAAGGAATCATTTATTCCTAAACAGATGATCCATGACGTCAAACTTGTTTCTAAAACAGAACTAGAAAAGTACAGGTTTTCACATGAATCACCTCTCATATTTAACCAAAATCCTCCCGCTGCTAAAACTTGTTACATAACCCTGACTTTCTGTATGAAACTTGGGCACAAAAGTCTGTTTCAGTTTGATGAAGTGTCCATAGAAATAAAAGCTCCCAGGGGTCAACGTTCGTATAAAGAGGCCCAGAGAATGTAAAACTGGCATGACAGGCGTACGTGGCTATTGTTTCATTGAATGACAAAGCATGTAATGCTGTCAGGTCTGGATCTGTTAAAGACTGCATGGCCACAAAAATGCATGGGAAAACATTTACACCACTATCCGGCACCTGGTTTCTATTAGAGCAATAAGGATCTAATCACAGAGGTGCATTTCTGCCTCAATCACTCTCACTTCCTCCATCTCACTCTTTCTCTTTCTCTCAGATGTAAAACAAGCTAATCTTCTTTTTTTTATTTTACGTCTTTTACCACCTGTTTTTAAATCTCCTTTTTCATCAAGGACTAATTTCACATCACATAGGAAAATTCTGCTCCAAGGCCTCTTTGCATGAATCACCTTTAAGTAAAAGTGACAGGCTAACTCTTCATAAATTACGTCTCATGATATACTGTAGCATGACATTAGCCTCCTCCGAACCAATTTCAAACAGGACGTGGATGTTTATATTTCAGGATGAGCGCTGTTGCCAGAGAGAAAATGGAGTTTGGAGACTAAAGGAGACAAAGACAGCTGCTTTAGATTAAACTTACAGTGTAGCCTGCAGTTTCCTCTCACATGACAAATTTCTCACAAACAGAGGAATCACAGTTCCCGCTCCCAAATGTCCGGAGATGAAACATCTGATGCACAAAATACAAATCCAATTCTGAAAATGTTGAAGTATTGCATGAAATGTTAAAAAAAGAGAAGAGAATATCAAACTGTTATTTGTCAGTCCTCGGGACAGTTTGTCACTTTGCTTCAGTTCAGTTTTAATCTGCTCACATTTCTAAATCATGGATGGTTTCTGGACTGTGTTTGTAGAAACTGTTTTTTGGTGAAACTCTTCCTATCTTTTCTCCTGAAACACTCTCCCTTTTTATGTTATGAACCTGTTATAAATTAACCCTATTAGTCACGAGATGTTCCCTCATGTTTTAAGTTTTACACAAATTCTAAACTTGTTTAAAACATGCTGCATCAAAGTTAATTAATGGAACAATAAAACTTTTCTGTTTCAGTATTTGAGTTTCAACATTTGATTTATTCTCTTAAACTGTATTAATTAAGCATAAAGTAAAAAAAAAAAAATGCAAATCATGAAACTCTGTTTTTTACAAAAGAAGATTAGGGCCACTGGAAAAAAAAGAAAGAAAGAAAGAAATGGTCCGATATTTTTTTTTTATTATGAGGAAAAAAAAATCAAAATTCTGACTTTAATCTCAGAATTCAGACTTTAATCTTTGAATCCTGACTTTAATCCCAGAATTCAGACTTTAATGTCAAATTTCAGACTTTAAACTCAGAATTCTGATTTTAAACTCATAATAATAATAAAAAAATTACATCTGATTTTTTTTTTGTCCTATTGGCCCCAATCCTCTTCTGTAGTTTTTAATTACTATGTCAATTAATATCACAACTTTCATGGATTTGGGGTTCATACTGGGTAAAAAAAGTATTTACTTCACTTAAACCAGACTACTACATAAAAGTTTTTTCACACCAAATGCTCACAACAGTTTCCCCACAAGAAAAATGATGATATCACATCTCTTGCCTGTAATACAAAAGTTAAATTTGTTCTTTAATCCCACCTCTTTCTACGTAAAATCAACAAGTTGGAGGATGCATGTGTAGACTCACTGTAAAAACCTCGTCCAGCCATTCTGCTCAGCTCATCAGCCGTGATAAGCTGGAAGCACAGTGCAGGTATTGTTTTCACACTGAGACACAAACAGCTCCTGCCGGGCCCTTAACTTTTTAAAGCCGGTGAGCCTGAGAGGATGCAGGAAGTCTGCTCTGCCTCTGCCTGCTATTGCTCTTTGATTGCTGAGCCAAATTGTTTAATCAGGTCTGAAACCACAAGAAAGCTGCAGTGCTACACTGCCCCGGGACAGAGCCTCTCTTTCACGGCGTGTTTTCTTATTAAGGCGCAGGTGGAAGCGCACAGCTATGTAAATCTCCAGTAGCTTGGTTAGCCTTGCTTCCATGCAGAAGGACAGAAGGAGTGTTTGGTGTGAGTGGGGCCACGTGTTTGGCCAATGCAAGCATGAGGAGACGAGCGCTGCAGACTCTCTGCCTCCCTGCAACATCTGGAATCTCTGTGGTTTATGTGGGAAATTTGGGAGGCCGGTGACAGAGCCAATGTGGTTACTGTATCTAAACCGACCCTGCGGAAATGTTCTTGGCTCGGAAAATGTGTGTGTGAGAGAGTAGCAGGAGCGCCGAAGAACTACAAAGTCAAAGCTCTGGATGAGAAAGAAGTTATTGTTTGGATCATTTTCCAGCAGAGTTGTGGGCATTCATAGGAACACACACGTACACACACACACACACACACGAACTCTACAGAGATAACAGGACTCGTGCTTGTTGACTGCTTTGCCGCTACATCCTGGTGCAGCAGGCTCCTGAAGTTAAGTGTGGCCCTTCCTGCTTCATTACTTCCTAAATCTTGTTTCTGCCTTTCTTCTCGGTTGGCAGCTGAGGACTGGACCAACCTGTAAGCTTTTGTGTTGTTTCACTCACATACTTTCACACACACACAGACACACACAAAAACACACATGCACAGTCCTGTCCTAAGTGTGGCCTGCATCCTGACACGGCTGCCCATGTCTCCTTCCACTTAGTTTACAAAGGCCAGGCCTAAATTCCTCTGCACACACACTGACCTGAAACAGAAAACACTCTCACCTTTTGTCATTTTATGGATTTATTAGCTGCTTTTTTCTAAGAGTTGTGTGATTTTAAGTAAGAATTAGAATAATAAAGCTGTTTTCCCACAAAGCACACGATGACAGGATTAAACCAGATGATTAATATTTCATAATAAACATGCTGGGAGTGTTGAATACGATGATCCCAGCCAGAATAAGGACATTAGAAGCGTCATTAAAAGACATTATGCGCTATTTTATGAGTAATTGCAATGAAAATGTTGAAATTGCAATAAAAACGGGAAAAAACTTCTGAGCAGGGTAACCAAATACTTTCTCTCGTGTTTTCACAACCTTGACAAATGACTGTGTATACAAAGAAAAGTCTCGAAATACTAGCAAGCGTCTTTTTTCCTCCTCTCTTTTTCTCTGTCAAACAGCCGCGCTGGCCTCTGCACTCAGGAAACCACAAGTCATTTTCCATCTTTCCATGTGTGGAATTTTTCATGCTCTCGTCATGCCAGCAGCACCCTTTATAGTCTGAGCTGCATCTACAAATGACGAGCGGGTTGTAAATTTAGCGCATGATGTCACTGATCTGGCACCTGTCGGGCAACGCAGACGGCGAGCAGAAATAACGGCAGAATCTCATGAAAATGGATTTTCCTGCAGCGTTTCGAGCCTGCATGTGCTTCAAATCAAGACTTTTTTTCTCCATGTCCAGGTTCGTCTTTAAATAGACGCAGAGCAAAGAAAATACTTGGCCCTATTCAAACACTGCGGTGGAAAAAATATGCTACGTTGTCTTTCCTTTTCAGTACCAAAACCTTTTCAAATCCTTTTCAGTACCAAAACCACTTCAAATGTACATACATTTTTTTTTTTTGGGGGGGGGGGGCAACATGAGGGTACAGCTGCCTAATTCAGATATTTTCTTCAAAGCTGAGTTTAGCAAGAGCTGGATTATGGAGCTAGAAGTTTCCAACCACTAAAAAGATGAGCCTCTCCTCTCCTCACTGATCCACAAAGTGCATTAACCCTGTAAGGAATATATCAGTACTAGTATGTTGGTTACCTTTAAATAGGGATGGGTGTGTTTTGCTGAGTTAATTAGAAATCACCCTTCAGAGTCAGCGCTAGAATTACAAATCAGTTAAATGAGATCTTGATGTTTGTTTTATCGCTGGCTCAAAACTACAGGTTATGCCTTTAAGCTGATGTGCACCAACTCGCCACAACTTAAATGTAGAAAATCAAAAAAGACAGATGGCATCACACATCTCCCTGAGAACAAAAATGAACGAAAAAATGAGTTTTTTTTCCACTTTAGGGCTGGACGATAAACCGAAAATTGTCGAAAATGTCATTTTGCCCATGTCAATATATTCGGTGTCAAATAAATACATAAATAAATAAAAGTTGGTTTTGGATGTGTGTAGGTAGGCTATGTTCTCAAGTCCCTTTAAGACGCTGTCCTACGTCAAAGACGTGACTCCACCCCATCCAGTCCGTAACAAAGAGGGAAAGACAGGTGAGGAGATGGAGGACGGTTCAAAAGTTGTAGCGGCTGAAGTAGACAAAGTTAATGTGGGAGGGGGTGAGCAGCTTTTGGAGTAGTTATCGTCCATTTATCGTTATCGAGGTGAACTGTATATATATATACCATATCGCCCAGCCCTAGAATAACTTGACTGGCCAGGCCGTCTCGCCCACCAGCAGAAGTCAGTCTTGCTCTAAACGGTTCTTGGCTGAATCCTCACAGTCGGGTTTCAAAGTCTTCAAAGAGAGTGAAGGTTGATATCTAATCATATCTGTTGAAGTGAGCTTTTCCCTTTTCTCTTGGGAACTCGGGGTCTCTTAGCTAAGTTGAGACTTCTATTGTCAAAGCTAAAAGAGATTTCATTATTTAACAGCACAGAGGTCATAACCAGATGAAGTACAGCAGATTTAATAATCCTGCTTTTAGCACAAAACATCCAAAGTTACAAGTAATTTCATTATCGTGACTGCCAGACCCCCCTCTACTGTTGTACATGATGTACTGATTACAACCATAGATGACATGGCTGTTACATATTCCTTTATTTGGAGCTCTTAAGATGTATACATTATGGTCCCTACCAGGCCTCATGAGGGACTGCAGCTGTCAGAGGGCCACAGTCGGCCTCCACTCCACCCCAGCAGCCCCCCTGGATGAGACCAGGACTATGGAAGCAGCTGGGGAGTCCAGACCAGATAAGACAACCCTTCTGTTATACATCAGAAGCTATAGATGTTATATAATCCCTACTGGTGCTTCACCTATAGGCGGGTCGGTGATTTATATGGCAATGCTCGCTCACTGGGGAAGCACAGAGAAGTCAAACCGCTGGTGCTGTACTGTCTCACACTGTGGGAGTCAAGAGACTAAAGCTGGTAAATGGTTTTATATCTACTTAATCAAAATCATCAGGGCCTGTTTTTAGTTTTCATTCAGCCAAGTGAAGCTCTCCAGAGGACTGGATGTTATTCAGCTCAGTCTTTACTGTAAAGCGAAAACAACTACAGTGAAAACATGATCTATGATGCCCCACTTTAAGGCTCCCGCGAGGAGAATTCAGCTGGCAATGAGACAAAAACATTTTAATGTATCTTTATGAGCAATAAAGCAAATAAGACCATCTACTATTTCTGTACAGTTGTTTCTTGAGAGGAAGTGTCACACCAAGAGGCAAACTAGGGCTGGGCGATGTGGCCTCAAATCAATATCACGATATATTGAGCAGTTCACCTCAATAATAATAAATGGACAATGGAAAAGTAATAGTCAGACATGCACAGTCCAAGGATGAAGAATTTCAATATGATATAGATTAATATATTTTGGGTTACTGAGGAAAGCAACCGCTTGAAAAATGAGGTAAAATACAGCTAAAAACTGTCCACCTCACAGACATAAGTGCCACCAAATGCTCGAAAGGCGAACAACAGGCGTATGAAGTTCAAAAGCATTAAGGCGAAGGTAAGACCATGCAATGACCTCTTTGGCCACAAAACATCCCTGTCTTTATGATGAGCTGTCGTCAAATCAAATCTCCACAACCGAGTTTTCTCTCATTGGATGCATTTACCTCCAAAGAGTCTGCACACAGAATTTGACTTGATTAAACTTTTACAGCACAGAGCACACGTCAAAGACACTCCTTGTACCAGTGCCAAAATAGTCTGCTCTTTAATAAGAGAAGTCTGAAACAAGATTCTTTAATTTCGGCAGAGAAAGTAACATAAAAAAGAAACTGTCTGCATTTAAAACTCTCCTTTGATTTCTCCTCCGCTGCTTTTCTCCTGGGGGTCATTCACACTAACATGTGAAGGCGAGGGAGACGCAGGGCTTTACATTACAGCCTCAGAGGGATTCACAGAGTTTCGTCTTTGTTTTTCCTTATAACCAGCAAAAGGAGATTTCCACATTGAGAGTAGATTAGCATATTCTTTCAGAGCGAGGAGGATCTGTGTAAATGCGAAGAGTCTGTGTGTTCGAAAAGCTCAGAAGCCGAGTGGGAAGCTTTGGCCTGACAGTTCTGGGCCACAGAGTTCCGTTTAAGCCTCACTTATGTCATTTTCCCTTAGACTGGCGTTTGGGAAGGTGATGTTTATCATAACAAAGCACAGGAACATTTATTTATGTGAGTTCAAAAGTCACTCAGTCCTGCATAACTGCTTCTACTCGAGCCCTGGCAGACTGTCTGTTTATCTGTCTAGTCTGCTGGAGTCTTTATTTTTATATCAAACATAAATGCATTTACAAAACATACATTAGCCATGCATTAAAGCAGAACCACATCCATTCTGAAGCTCACGTCTGCTCCCTGTAAAATACATGTTTCAGGACAAATCCATTCATCCCTGTATGAGAGACAGAAACCTGCCTGAATAAGAAGCTTTCATCACTGGAGTGTAAATTAACTCCATGATTAATATCAGATCCAGCAGCAGGGTTCTGGGGATGAACATAGCCGCCTCCTCTCACCAGAGGAAGACATTAATTTCCACTGAGCAATTAAGGAGGCTGCAGGGAATTGAGATTTCCATACAAACTGTGCTGTGTGAAGGGGAAGAAAGCACTTCTGGCTCATCATCCACTCAGGACTTGAAAAATGCCCCATAAATGTTGAGTAACGCAGTCAGAAAATAAACATTGGAGAGGAGGGGGATTAGGATTTTCCACCTCCGAGGACCAAATCTTCTCTGAGCACATCCATATGCGGTTTTGGGATAGAGCTCTGGGTTTTATTTTCTGCCTCAGGAAAAACAAAACAAAACAACAAGTCAAGAGGGTTTAAAGGACTTGATGTTGTTTTTTTTTCTCCATAAATTCCTCGTATAATAATAAATAAATAAAAGCAAGTGGGGAGGGTTTAGAAATCGCTTCAAGTGTTTCTAAAGGCAAAAATATTTAAACAAGTGAGTGACTGTTCAAGAGGATTCAAAGCTGCTGATATCAATACAAGATGAGTGAAGTGTTAAAGCACGGGGCTTCGATGGTAGTGGATGAAGAACACCGCAGAACGAACATCTGGAACACCCCCCAGAAGACGGATTTCCGACACGGAAAGTCGGACGATCCTCACCAACCCCGACTTGACGACAACATCATAATCCAAGATGGCAACGCAATGCATCAACAGTTAAGAGTAACAGTGAAAGTTCTCAGAATGTATTATTTATTAGCACTTCTGTTTTGTTTTTGTAAAATTAAATAAGTGGTATATGTTGTACTGCCCGACATCTATCTGTGAACTCTGTGCTTTGGTGTTTGTAAGAGTAAAATACTGTGTTATGCGTTGTTTACAGCTGGAATAGTTAACAACGGCTAACGACAGCTGACAATGTTAAACAACAGCTAACAACGGCTAACAGTAGGCGTCCATCTTGGTTTTCTGACTTGTTCACTGGAACGCCATCAACTCGGGTGTAACATCATTCCCAGCTCTGAAATCTGACTTCTGAGGTAACTGGAACGCAGCATAAGTCCAAGTATCATAATTTACTAATCAAATATTATTACCATGCAAAAGAAAGTTCATCAGCTCATCAAAGTACTGGAGTGTTTGATAATATGTTATATTATTATCATGACTATATATTATTATCATGATCAAAACAAGCCGAGCGTTCTTGCAAAGTGCATGCAAAATGTCAACGCTGCAACAAACAGCAAAGAACGCAACATTAAAAACATCTCCCTGAAAAGAGCGATTAAAATAACATGGTACTTTTTGGTCTCATGACCATCTTAGCCTCTTAATTCACTTATTTTCTTTGTTTCCAGCTATGGCTATTAGCGAGAATTCACCAGCAGCTGTTGATGAAAACATCATGTGCACTTGCAAACGCACTAAAAATGGGAACCATGTGCATATGTGAGCAATAAAAAGACGGTGCACATTTATAGCACAGAATGCCTCTCTGCCGCTCTGCTATTTTGGATGTGGACCAAAAGAATGTGCTTTCCTCTGCTGGACAATGTCTTTTTAATGAGGTGGACAATGTTGTTATGTTCAATACCCAGAGCCATCTGGCCACCTCGTATCCGTGTCATAAAAGAGGTCTCCTCAGCCCGGCTGTAAAACTCAAACAGGGAACATCACACCTAATGTGTCTGACTCTCTGCCAGAGTTATCCTTTGCATAGCATCTTAATCCGACAAGTTATTTTATCATGAGACTGCAATGATAACATTTACTGAACTTATTGGCTGGACGACTGAATAAAGATGACAGTGATTTATGTCAGTGAAGATCACCAGCTGACAGAGAAAGCACGTGGCTCCCAGTGAAAATCGTATCATAGAGGAATATGATGATAAATGTCTTTCAAGAGAATTTCATAGCCCTGTTGACAAACTTGTTGACGTTATCCTCGGTGGTCTCACACTCAGGTTTCCAAGCATTACAGTGAAGAATGACCAGCGATCAGTCACAGTGCATACCACAGACCACACATTAGGTAACTGCTGCATAAAAGTGACATGGAATTTTTTCCAGACCATAATGTCCACTTGTGCGGTACCATGGTGCACAGCAGAGGTCATGTGAGAGTGCAACCTGAGCCTAAAATGGCATCTACCCAAATCCCACAGCTGCCCCCCAAGGGCCACATCACACGGGTCCAAATATTTCCTCTCAGCAAAACAGAAACAATGATCTGGCACGCTGCCTAATTTTAACTGCATCCTGCCAAGTGACCGATATATACAAGGCCTTTAAAATAAGAGACGCATGGACATTCCTCAGAGTCACACACACCTGTGGCCGTCAGTCTGATTAACATTGTTTGGAGGCTGAGCAAAGCCACCGCACAGGCCAGGGCACAGTGCAGGAGCTCACAGGGAGATTAACACGATGATGTTTTAATTGCAGTGACACAGACTGAGCAGAGTCTCTCACAGATCGAACTAAAACAATTCAGACACAAAGTTTGATCTAAGATATTTTTAACCACCGTTTTAAAAACAAAAGAAACTAGATGTACATTAATGAATTATTTTGTGGCCCTGTAAGGGAAATTATTCAAGGCTGTGTGGGAAATAACGCTAGATTAAGCTCTAAAACCTGCAGTGCCTTAAGTGTCCACTAGAGGCAGGCTGCAAAAGGCAATTAATTCCTTTCAGCTGCTAGCTAGAAGGGCCGGAGTGGAGTCTGGAATGGACTGCTTTGTATCTGAGTGCTGATAGCGGAGATTTTAGATGCAGGCCGATATAATCCGATATTTGTTTTTTGGCTGATATTGGACTGATATCCAATATCAAAATCTTATTGGGACATCCCTCATAAATGCTGAGGGTAACACATAAATTTGCATAATAGGGACCACAGCCAAGCTGACAGACGAGTGGGTGTGTTCTAACCATTTGTCAGCAGCTAAAAGCTGGCTTCAGCTTCACCTCATTGCCTTTAACGAAGCTGATTAAGAGTCTTGTTGAGTCAGCGTTTCCAATTTAGTGTGAGGTCTGAACTGATGAGAAACGTCTGCTTAATCTCTGGGAATATAAACACCAGAACCATAAATTCTCTTAATGGAAGTTAATGTAGAGTAAAGCAAATGTTCAGAGGTCTTAAATTAGTCTCTGACATATAAATGAGTATATTGATATTTCTAATTTCTATGTATTCCTACATAGGACTAATTTACTGCTGTTGCTGATGTGATAGCTGCTCATCTGTATTATCTCCCTGTTTAACCATGTTAATCCAGCATGCACTGAACTTTCAGAAGGAGATAAGACAGATGTGCATGTGCATTAAAATCTCCGCTCTGTTCGTATAAAAAGAAAAATCACGCCGCATGTATAGTGTTCACTTCTGTGTGACTAATGCAAGTGTGATGCACCCAAAAGCGTAACACAGGTAACATTTATGATGTCTTACCTGCACCTGCTGCGTTGGTCATCTTGTTGAACATCTGCAATTAAGAAGAAACAACAAATTTTAAGTTTTGTCCAATTATGTGGGTTTAAATCTTGAAATCACAGAACATCATTTCATTTTATAACAGTCTGTTGAAACTAGATGAAATGAAAAAGCAGAGAGGACACACGGGTTGTGAACTTTAAGCTACAGATTTAAGGACTTGATGTTTGGCCACATAACCTAATGTTCAGGTTGGCAAGGTTTAAGGACATGGAAGGAGGTGATGAAACATTTAACCTCACAGTAATACCTCAGTTGAGTCGAATTCTTAGTTTCAACAGATATTCTTCCTGATCTGGACCGGTCATGGTTGTTCCTCCTCTCTTGCAAAACTCTCTTCCCTCTGTGCCCCACTGGTCTGATTTACGCTCTTGTTTGCTTGCCCTGTTTCCACATTTAGCCCCCAACAGGGAAAAAATGCAGCAAATTCTCTCAGCCTGACTGTTTACGACACCGCGACAGGACGGTCAAACGGTCATCGGTCCACATGGTGCTGATTTAAACTTCTGTGCACATTTGCAGAAGTTGTATTGTTAAGTTAGACCATGCAGAATAAGTGAGTCGTGTCCTGCATGTCTCACCAAGGCCATGGCCCCCTGGGGTTGTCATGGCAGCAGAAAAACCTTCTCGGCTGCATAAGCAGTCGATACAGTTACCATGATGGTGGTGACGCAACAGACCTGGACCCCTGTATGAAGCATGTGTGCAATCGGTCTTCGTTACATGCTTTTTGACACTTTCAGGCTAAACCAGGTCAGAGGACAGCGGGCGTCTTGGCAGTCTATCTTTGATTTCTTCAGATGAAGAAGACGATTTAAAGTAAAGACAGACTCTGGCAGGGTCCTCCTTAAACCACCAGGGAGTGTCCTCGCAGCTCCAGGGTCAGCTGGCTCCAACACTTTGGTATCCACAGGCACAAAATCCCGACTCTCTGCCTCTTACTCAACATAGAAACAAGAAAACAGGCTACAATAACATGACTCATAACCTTATGAGTGTATTTTTACCTCTGTTTAAATACGGCGGAAGGGAGTGGGGCCTCTGAACTCGGAGGCGCAGCCACTGATGTATCCCTCATTATTGACTGTGAGATTTGGCACAGTCTGGCAGAATTTCATCACATATCCAAACACTTGTGTAACAGTTCAAAGGCTGTGTCTAAGGTGCGGAAACATGCAGGTCCGACACCTGTGTGCTCCTTCTTCTCTTTTGATATGACTGTCTCTGTAAAACTGATGGACAACATAAGCCAGTCTCAGAGGACCAGATGAAGACCCAGTTTCAGAAATAGGCTGGTGAATATTTGAGCTCCAAAAACCAGATGCAGGGACCCAGCGGGGATGTTCTGGTTTTCAAAGACTTGAATGCATCTCTCTCTCTCTCTAGTTTAAAAGTATTTCATCTTGGCGTATCTCAAGCTCTGACCCACTTTAGCCACACTACACCGGCCTGCTTCTGTCCACTCAGATGGCGGACACATGTCAAAGGCTGCAGGTCAGGAAAAGTGACATCCTCCATGTAAGGAGCAGCACCCTCTCTCTCTCTTTCAGGCCTGCTTACACCAAAGAGACTGTTTATAGGGAGTGACAGGTCTGTGTGGGTGAATGATGGCTGCTGTCCCAGCACAAATGACACCCTGCCTGAGAGTCAACAGGGCAGCGACAGGACCGGTCAGTCGGGATGACAGAGCGGCACGTCCTCCGCTCTGTCTGTCTCTGTCAACACTAATTAAAAGGAGGAATCCTCAACGCAAATAGGTCTCTTTGCAGCACTTGAAGCCTGTTGGTCTACAACATGCTTTATGCTGAACAGAAAGAACAGAAGCTGAAGATAAAGGAGAGTGCACACTGAATGCAGAAGAATAAACTAGAATCAATGCAGATGCTCAGCATAAATGAGTACACCTTTCAAAATCAACATCTTCTATGTCAGACTATACAACAAAATACTCCCCCAAACATAGGCCATTGATTGCAAACAAGATTTTCTAAGTTGCATACAAAAAAAGTATTTTTTTTCAGGATGCAAAAATGAGTACACTCCAGTCAAAGCTCTGGGAGCAAAGCTACATTTTAGTTACCATATCACCCTTATTTTCATCCCCTGGTAAATAAAATGTTCTGTGAAACTCAGCTTTGTCAAAACTTTACTTTTAATAGGGGGTGTAATGACTTATGCTGGGCACTGTACTATTGGCCAAAATGTGTTTGAAAATATTGGCACATTAGAGATCAGCAAAACTCCATCCCTATTCCACAGTGACAGAAAGTTAAGTCTTCTCTTATAAAACTTTGACAATATTTGGTTTTACCTACCTTAGAATTAGACAACAGGGATAATAATATCATCTGTAGCTTTAAAATAAACTTAGGGAATATCTGTATAACACATGTATACACAATATCCCTATTTTCAAAGATTATGCAGCTGCAGAGAGAGTCAAAGGTTGTCGCCGGGCAGGTGCCATAACTCTGACTAGATAACTTGTATAAAAGCTCAGTCTCAGTAAAGCATTAACCGCTCGTACAGCAGGGTGTACTGGCTCACACATTAGTCTGGTTTATTCCTGGACTCAGAAACTGAGATTCAATCTGCATCACATTCTCACTCCCCGCTGGCAAGAAGATTCATCTGGCCTGCAGAGCTCTTATGTAAGACTCAGAGGAGACGGTGGTGGAGGAAGAATTTCTCTGCATGTGTGCAATGACATCTGTGTATTAAGACATCCGTGCATTCACCATCAAACCAATGCACAAACTTGTTCTTTTGTTTGTTTGTTTGTAGGGTAGGACAGCTGAGGATGGATGGGAAATGTGGGGAATGGAGAGTGGGGGGATGACATTCAGCACAGGGTCATGGCTGCGAGTCAAACCTGTGAGTGCTGCGATGAGGACTAAAGCCTCTGTAAAGTCCATATGACAGGTTAACTGCTGGACCACACCAACAGCCCACTTGTGCACAAACTTAAAAGGAAAGGCAATTATTCAGTTTATTCATCCTTTTCTTAATTTAACCCTTGGTCTTCTTTCCTTTTTCCCAACTTTTTCTTATTTTTCTTTTTCTTTCTTCTTTTTCCGTCCTTTTTCTTCTTCTTTTTCTTCCTATTTTTTTGTTCCTTTTCTTCTATTTTTTTCTTTCTCCTTTCTTCTTTCTTTTTTATCTTCTTTTTTCTTTCTTTTCTTTTTTCCTTTCTCCTCTCTTTCTTCTTTTTCCTTTCCCCTGTTTTTCTTTTTTCTCTCTTCTTTCTTTTTCATTCTTTTCTTCTTTCTTTTTTTACTTTCTCCTTTCTTCTTTTTCTTTCATTTCCTTTTCTCTCTCTTCTTTTTCTTCTATTTTTTTCTTTTCCTTTTTTCTTTCTTTTCTCTGTCCTTTCTCTTTTCCTTTCTTTCTCTTTCTTTTTTCCTTTCTCCTTCTCGTTTCTCCATCATCTTCTTCAAACGCACAAATTTAATTCAGTTTGTGTGAAATTCATTGTGTTAACTCTTGAAAACGACACTCATGTAATTATCAAACCCCCCCTGAAACATGTCTGCACTGACTAACATGTGATCTCGTTATAACCAAGGTTTCCCTGCAGCCAAAATACACTTGTTTTTAACAGATGTGAACATTCCCACCTGTCCTCAAGCCGACTTTCAGCCCAAGCTGCTGTCATTTTCAAGAGGTGGTTATGGTTTCCACACAAACAGGTGGTAACTAAACTTAATTTTATTTGAAGGACTCTTTTCCCCTAGACAAAATAATCCTCCTCTGCTCTGCTCAGCTCCCTGGCACCCCTTTCATTTAGTCTGCAAACTGCAGTAAGTGTAGAGCATGAAAAAAACAACACTTGTATAGAAAGGCAGCATGTTTCCAAAGTGTGAATCTGAGCAGTAAACCAGAATTTTCTCCTCTAAGCAGGTTGTTTTTCCATCACGCTGCAGCACAGCCATCAGAACAGCACAAAGCTCGAGCTGAAAGGCTTTGAGTCTAAACCCGCCCTGCATTCTGCAAATCCCTCAGTTGTCTGTTTCTCTTAGGGCCATTCAATAGTGACATTTATATACTTTGTCCAGCACAAGTGAGTCCTGCTTGTTTAAGAATGCCTAAGCTGACCTTATTCCCAACACAAACCTCAAATATTTACAGATGCAGAGGGGAAGAGCAGCTGCACAGAGGGGGGAATGTCAGAATTTCAGCTGACTGGTGAGGGATTTCTCTTAAAAAACATCCACTCCTACAGAGGCATTGTCAGGGTCAGTTTTTTTCCTCCTGACATAAGGGTCAAATATGTGAAATGAAGGTTTCACGGGATTTGATTCTTTATCAGCTTAGGTAAATATCTGGCCAAAGGACAAATCCATCTATTTTTGCAGATTTCTTCACTCTATTACAGCTGCACATGAACATCTGTAGCCTGTGGTATGATGAGGAAACATGCAGCATCTTTCCGGGAACAAAAGCCATAAAAGCAAACTAGTTTTAACAACAAAGACATAAAAGTCCATTTGAATTAAAATCAGTCACTTTCACAACAAAATGTTCGTTTTTTTTGTATCAAAGGCAGTAATCTGAGGATGCACACACATAAAAAAAACCTCCAAGCTGCAGATGATAAAAACCCGTTTGACATTACAGGAAATAAGGTCATGGAAGTCACCCAAAGAATGCTAAAGCTAGATCTGAGCTGGGAAAACCAAAAACTTTCAGTGTAACCAGTTTGCAGAGATAAACTGAAGGACTTTCACTATCTCAGAGCTGTGAGAATAAACACTGGACAAAAGTCGAGAGAGGCAAGTTTGGCATGAACTCCAAACTATCTGAATGAGTCACTTACAGGAAGCTTTTAATCTCAGAGAAACCTACCGTTTTCTTGGTCGTTTCTTTCCTTTCCGCTGAGCTTCTGTGAGGAGCTGAAGACCTGTCCTGGCTCGGACAATCCCCTCCTTCTGGTCTTTGGAGGACCGGGTCTTTTAGGGTCGGAGTTTGGTTTGACGTGGACTTGGAAACAGCAGCCCACTGCAACAACATCACAACAACAATCAGGACCGGTTCTGTTTCTGTCTGGCTGGCTGGGGACAGGATGGTCTCAACGGTGGCCAGGGGAAAAGAAAACAAGAGGCTGAGGTCAACTGCTGGGGAAGTGAAATCTCCACTCTCAATTCAGCCTGACAGACGCACACAAAGAAGCCTGTATGTGTGGATCTTCTTTGGAGAGGACAGAGATTATGACCTTGTCAAATATCCCAGTAAAGATGTCTCGTCTTGCCCAGTCGCCTGTCATTAGTTAAAGCAAGTAATAGTGAATGCCTGGGATGGTTATGCAGATGCCTTGGAGGCATGTGAGCGCCTCTCTACCATTCCTAATGGACCAAATCATACAAACTCCTTTCAACACAATAGCAGCTCTGTGTTCTTCATACATACGGAGCCCAAAAGAGCACTTTTGTTCCTCAGTGCTAACTCTAGTGGGATATTTCATGAAACATGCCACCATGAGAAGACCCCTTTTTAAGAACAGAGTTGCATGGTCTCAATAATAAGCCGTGGAGCACAATAGCGGTCTGTTCCTTCCACACCATTTTGACCCCGCTGGAACACTGTACGCCGCAGTATCACATCTGAGAACTGCTGAGCTACATCATAAAGTAGACTCTCAAGTCAGAGAGTCGCTTTAAGGAGGCCTCACAAAGCCCGCAGTGTGGCGGTGGGACTGCGGCGCTATATATGGTGGGTCGCAGACATAATAACGGCTCATGAGACATCCAAATTCCCCCTTCATTTACCGGTATCACAGACTGCAAGTGCTTGATTTTAGAGTGTTTTTTTTCTTTGGTGAAACTAAAGCTAACGTGGATTATTTTCTAAACCTTTAAGGACATACAGTTCTGCTGAACACCTGTTGTTCCTCTCAGGTTGAACAATCTGCTGGGATTTCGCTCCACACAGCAAACCAAATTGATTTAGTGAGTTTTACAAGCATGACCAAGTATGCGGCGAACGCCTCGCAGGAATGTGTACAGTACAAACCGTGACGGAGCAGAAATCATAAAGACCTGCAGACCACATGCTGCATGAAAACAAAGTACATGCAGATCATTCTTTGTTTATACCAAAATGTAGGAGATACTGTGTTGACTTGAGCGCCTCGTACTCACCTGTTTCTTGCGGGTGGTGCAGGGAGTGTCAGAGGGAGAGGAACTCGCACTCAGAGCTTCCTCTATGTCCAGATGAAGCTGGTCCAGCTTCATCATCAGCTGGCTCATTGACGCTGACCAGGGAGACTTCACCTGGGGAGACTCCTGTGGGGATCCAGAGAGATAGTGAGTGTTTTTGTAACTGAAGTCAACACACAACAGCTAAAGGAGTTTGGGGACTAAGACTTAGCTTACACTGGCATGTTGATATACTCCAGAGAGTTGTTGTTTTCTTACCCGATAGTCTGGGCTTTGTCAGTTAAAGTCTGTAAGGACTATTTTTAGGGCTTTTGCAGGACAGAATGGGTAACTGTCACTTTACAAACTAACTCTATCATCAGACAGGATAAAACTTATTTGTTTCAAAGACTCAATCCAATCAAAATCATGGTTTTCTTGTTGTCTACATGTTCATATGGCATTTTTCTGATGATACAGGACATATCATGAGAAAAGTACGAAATTGCATTTTTAGGTATTTCTGCATTAAAGTCACGGTGAATCTCTCACAGACGCGAACGGCAGAATCAGATACAGTGAGATTTCGTACGTAACAAATCCAATTCCCGCAGCAAGTGTGTGCATTAGCTGATTGTAAAGCTCGTAAGAAAGCTAATTATGATATTAACTTTCACCTTTTACCAAAAAATATAAGTGTCCGAGAGCTGAATAGCTTCTATGTTACCTGTTACTTCTGCTACACCGGCAATGCTAGGCTACAAGCTAACGCGAGAAGAAGTGTGTCTGTCTCCGCCCACAACTCAGAGGTGACTTGCTAATGAGCTACTGGAGCTCTTCAGAGGAAACGCCCTTAAAAACGACACAAGTAGCGCGATTTTGGCTAAACACTAAATAGGGGAGAGTGGGGTAAGCTGAGCCACCCCCTGTTGCTTGGAAATAGTAAAAGACATTGATCATGTGACTGAGAACACTTTACGTAGTAAAAAAGTTGCTAATATTTCTAGAAAGGGCTTTAAATGTTAAATTTATGCACAGGCTTGACTTTTAAACAAAACAAATTAACAGATTTTCAAAGTTGTGATATAGATTTGAACCCAGGAGTAAAGTCAATAAAAAAATCCCCTCTCTGCTCATCTACAACATGTGAGTATAGTTCTCAGTAAGGTGAGAACACATGTGGATTTACCACACTGCCCTCAACTCAAAAAAAGAGTTACAGGCAAACCCAAATAAGTCTCTTGTAAACTGCAGATGCTCCTTCAGTGAATGACACATGGAAATGTGATCTCCTCAGCCGTGTCTCAGGGTGAAAGAGCAAAAGAGGACCGCAGACATGTGTGCCATACACAGCATGATGGAATTCCCTGCACTGGCTTTCACTGCCCCCCAGACATGCCGTGTATATAAATAGACCGCGGTTTCACAGACAGGAGCGGTGTCTGAAGATCTGCAGGACCTAGTCCAGCCCCATAAATCAGCAGGATTCACCTCAGTCACCAAAACATAAATTAACAATGTTGTTGTGCCATCTGACAGACAGGAGACATGTCAGTGAAGTCCTGGAGAGGGTCACATGCTGCAGGATCTCTGACTTTGGACCCTTTTCAAGAATGCCAGAAGAAGAAATTCAGCTTCTCCAATACAGGGGCAGATGGATGATTGATCATCTGTACTGGTTTTTTATATTAGAGATGTCCGACAGAACAAAACAATTAAAAAGTGTGATATTTATTCTCTCCTGCTGTGGCGTTTTTTCACTCTCAAACAAACCGACACAGAAAGTCAAAATTACAGCTGAGGACACCAACCAACAAACGGCGAGAAAAACCTGAAAAAAAAAAAAAAGGCACTTACTGGAATTAAAACTAAAAAGGAAAACTGATCTCTGATAACTGCCACACACGCCGTTTTCCCAGTTTTAACGGGAAAACCTTAAAATGTACAATGATTTCATTGACGGGACTCATCAATTAAACGTTCTCCTGGGAAATCCCCACCACGCCTGTTTGTTTGTGTCATTCCTGTAAGACGGGCTTGTTGGAGAAACCTTTAAAATTTTGTAAACAGCTATAAAACTTGTTAAGGTGCTTTAAGTGATCCGCTGCTGTTGACTAAAAATTTACAGAGATATCCAAAAGATGTCAGGCTCATAAGTGTTCATATTTACTCTGCAATCCACAGTTTTTTCTTTCAGTCAGACATCAAATTAAACCATCAGTGCATTTCATCTTTAATTCACAATCAATACAGCATAATTTGGCACATCAATTTCCCTGCAAATCACTCTCAGACAGTCTAAATTACATAACTATGTTAAGGACCTGACATAATTACATAAGGGTCTTGAATTGTAAGGAATTAAAGGACCAGACGCCAGACAATCCGCTCATCCCGCTGACCACCCAGTGTCAGCTGACTGACCCCGCATTAAGTGAAAGTGCCTTTTTTCACTCAATCCCCAAGGAATGACCCAAATCTGGCCAATCCCTGCTGACCCCTGAGGCCTGAGGGGTCACCTGGGGTCACTGGGAGGAAAAAATAAAGCTGCCCTGCTCTGTTATGTCTGCCCCTAAAGCGAAGGCATACAAAGGTTTGACATGAGATCACTTTGTTTGGACAGCTCACGTCTTTGTTTCTGCTGACAATAAAAGGCCCTCACATACTTTCGTACTCAACATCTGTGGATTTCAAGATGAATGACTGAACGTACTCTCCTAAAAACTAAAACGAGACACTGATTAATGAACAACTCCAGCATAAGTACGACAAGGATTATGAAGATGAATCTTTGCCTAAACTTGCCTTGTCGGCTTCATAAATCGGGTTGATATTCAAAGAAACAAACAATTATTTCCTGGAAGTTCATCCAACATACTTTGACAGTTTCTGTTTTCCCCCTGGGAAAGTGTGACCGCCGATTAAAACCAGAAAATCATCATCTAACTTGTTAAAAGAATCTGAGAGATCAAGTTCTCGAGTGTTAACATGTGCTCGTATGGCACCAGTGGAAATAGATGCACATTTTGAAACTCAAGCCAGCGAATGGCTTTAAAAACTTGGGTCAGTTTTCTATGATGTCTAATCTTTTAACAACTCTGCGGAGGCATTTGGGGAATAAGCAGACCGGTTTCTGAAGCGCCCAAAAGTGAAAATGTTGATCCAACTTTCTCTGATGTAGGATTCTTCTTCTTCTGTATTTCTTGAGTTGTATGTGTTTTCAATGGGTAAGAAGTCAGGACTGCAGGTAGGCCAGTTTAGCTCCTGGACTCCTCCTCATATGTCAAGCCAGATCTGTATATATTGCTCAGCATTAATGGTGCCTTCCCAGATGTGTAAGCTACAATGCCACAGACACTGAGAGTGTATACTCCATACCACCATGAATGCTGGCTTTTGACCCCTGCCCAGTGACAATAAAACAAGCCGGGGTGGTCCCTGAGGATACAGCATCCATGTTTTCAAAAATGATTGTCTGATTATGAGACAGTTTTTCATTAAATTTACTCTATTTTCTTTATTTTTCTTTGCAGTATTTCAGTTTTGTTCTCCTTGTCCCACGTTTTAGAACATTTTTCAGTTTCAGTGTTTGATTTGTTCTCCTTGATTGAATTTAGGGTTTATATAAACAGGAAAAACATCAAAATCGTGTTTTATTTAGACTTTGAACAGCTGCCCAGCTTTCTCAGAGTTGTGTTCGTAAACATTTGTGGCTCTTTTATGATTTGGATTAGATGGAGACAGATGTATATTTTACATCTCACCTAAATTTAATTGTTGTTTTCTCTCTCTGTGCTGCTGCAGGAGGATAATTAGTGTCTTTGGATGTATACAATTTAACTGTCTTTTTTTCACTCATTGTAAAAAGCTTGTAATCAAATTAATGACTGCTTCCATCTTTTTTTTTTTATTTAACTAAATCACAATTAGAGATACTTATGTGATTTAACGCCAAAGTCTAAAATGATTCTCTGTGAGGTGAATATTACATACATATAGTTATGTAAGGGACCAATCCTGGAATAACATCCAAAACCCAGAAACTGGTGATAAATTTTTCACAGATTTTAGGAGTGAAAAGTTCATTTTGTGCACTAGACACAGGAGGTAAAATCTAAACTTGTGACATCTCAGTATCCTTAGTTAAAAGGTATAAAAGGAGTTGAAGTTCTTGTGAGCCGAACTCCTAATTAACCCCTGGAGTCAGACAAACACAAATGTGAGAAACAGATGCCCCATTCTGGCCCATGCTGGAGCCAAATCTGGAACACATTCACACTGTCTCTTTTCAGTGACATCCCCACAAGGTGCTGCTCAGGAATGTGGACACTTCTCCTAAGAATGAGACAAATTCCAGAGAAGGCCTGACGCTCAAGTGAGACACTACCCTTGATTCATCTCTCCCTGCCTTTCCCCCTCGATCCGGCCCCGGCAATTGTGTGAAGTCCTCACACCATGGCAACTGAGCTGGTATGAGTCAATCCTTTAGATAAATGCATTAATGTTATCTTCTGGGGACACAAAATGTGAGCTGACTATAACTTTATCAGCGCAAATTGGCCACATTGTGAATCCCAACACAGTGGCTTTGACATGGAAATGAGGAGTTAAGTGTGTGAGCTCTGGGCTTGGTGCCTAGTTCGCGCCACCCACTGAGAGAGCCACAGATCACCATGGAGGTATCCAAATGTAGCAGCCGGTCATGCGAAAGGGCAACGGCTACCTGGCTACACGGAGGAATAAATTACACTCTTAATATCCTGTAATGCAAAACAGCAACTGAACACAGCCGCGGCCCCGTCTGTGGAGGAGGGATTAGGGGGGAAATGTGGATTTTGAAAGGTTTTTGTGGTCATAGTTGAGTCAAATGTTGCAAGCGGGGGGGAGAGTGGAGTCACAGAGTGGGAACACTATGCAGACAGCACCCTCATATGGCTAAATTTTGATACTGCACCTATGTGATAGTTGCATAAGTATGAAAACAGAATAGTAAAAATAGAGTCTTATGTTAACCTCGTATATGAAGTGTGATATTATTATATATTTAGGCAACTCTTATGTCCAGACGTTTTGTCTGGATTGGCCTAAGTGGGGCACACACATGAATAAACATTATTAATTCCACCTGCCACCGTCCACACTAACATTACACTTCTACAGTACAGGCCAAAAGTTTGGACACACCTTCTCAATCAATGTCTTTTCTTTATTTTTCTATATGATTATTTACATTGTAGAATATCAATATCATCAAAACTAGGAATGAACACGTGGAATTTTGAACTTATAAAAAAGTGTGAAATAACTGAAAACATGTTTTATATTCTAGTTTCTTTAAAATAGCAACCATTTGCTCTTGATGACAGAAGTAATCTATATCTATTCATCTATCTTTTTATCTATCTATATCTATGTTTCTATGTATCTATCTATGTATCTATGTATCTATGTATCTATGTATCTATCTATCTATCTATCTATCTATCTATCTATCCTCACTGATCATATAACCTCCTCATATAAAAGTACAGAACAGCTGTTATTTTGTTCCAGTGTCTTTTCCATGAAGTCAAACCCTGTCCTGTTGTGATGCCCACATATCAGCTCCTCATATAAAAGCAGATCTTGTTTTGTGATGACATTAAAAGCATTGACCTGCTCTACTTTGATAAAGTTCACTGCAGCTCCCTGAATTCTTCCACTCTCTGTAAATATTAAACCGGCATTTACCTCTGCATACTTGACTATCAAACAAAGAAGCTAATCTCCAGCAGTCGTGTACTCTGCCCTGTTTACATGTGCTCCATTATCTGCAGACGGTTTAGAGAGGGATGGCAGGTATGTGCCACTGGATGTTTTAACTCAGAGATTTGAACATATCTATGAATGTCCACAAAAGGCTTTTAAAGGGCAATAAAAATCAGCACTGAGAGGTTATAGGATGGTTACAACCAAGGTCAGGGTGTAAGGGCTGTGTGAAAAAGAGACTCCATATGTTCAGACTTGTTGGAGAGAAAGGAAGTGTTCAGCAGTGGGAGGCGAAGTTCAACGTTAATACGGCCTGTTATGTCAAAACACTGAGTCTGCAGAGAGTCTGGAGAGAAAGCAGAAGCTGTTTGCATTCCTTTACACGCCTATATCATCTGTGCGTTATCTCAGAGATGTCAGCTGATAGGAAAGAGCAAATAAAGACTCTGATACTGACCGACAAAAGACCGAACCAAAGCTATAAAAAGCCACAGTATTCAAGTTTAAGGCTTCAGGTTTTAAATGACACAGACTAGGGCTGGGCGATAAGGCCTCAAATCACAATATATTGAGCAGTTCATCTCGATAACGATAAATGGATGGTAACTACTCCACAAGCTTCTCGCCCCCTCCCACATTAACTTCGTCTACTTCAGTCGCTACAACTTTTAAACCGTCCTCCATCTCCTCACCCGACTTTCCCTCTTTGTTACCGACTGGATGGGGTGGAGTCATGTCTCTGACGTAGGACAGCGTCTTATAGGGATATGAGACCATAGTCTACCTACACACATCCAAAACCAACTTTCATTTATTTCTTTTTTTGACACCGAATATATTGATATGGGCAAAATGACGTTGGTTGTTGTCGTAAATTTCGGTATCTGTAATTTTTCGGTTTATCACCCAGCCCTAACACAGACTAGGGATGGGTATAATATAATCTAACTTAATTGGACATTAGTTTCTAAACTTTTGCACCAGTTTAAGATGTTTTAGAATATAAGAAATCCCATTTTACATGTACAACTAAAGTATTAACCAGTGCCTATTTTGTAAAAGCTAAATGAAATGTGCACATTAATTACTTTTTCTTAGGTTATACACTTAAAATTGTTATTTCATTAACTTTTCGATTATCTAAGAATAAAATAACTTGTATTATACTGTATATTGTGGGCACTTCAGTCATTTTACTTTAACCTTGACCTTGAAATAAAAATGATCATTGTGAACTAAATTGGTTAATTTTTACATGAATTAGTTGAAGCCTACTTTCCAAAATACTTGACTGTTTTAGTTCATGTGATGTTGATGTATGAGATGTGTGTGATTTTGAGAAATAGCAGCACACCTCCTTGTTCCTGCTCTCCTCCTCTGCTTCATATCCACCGTTTCTGGCGACACTCGCAGCTCCCCTCCTCTTCTGTTTGCCTTTGCTCCTTTTTCTGTGGTTGGCCTGCAGCTCTCTGCTCTGGGGCAGCTCGAGGAAAACGTCGTCATCGCTGTCATCATGATCGTGATCCTCCTCTGATGAAGACTCTCCATCGTCTGAGCTCTCATTGACATAAGCGTGGCCATCGCCTACTGAGGCGCAGGTGTAGTTTGAGAAGCTGATGGAGCTGGGTTTGTGCTTGATGATTCGAGGGAGATCTGAGACTTTCCGACCAGGATCTGGATCGGTTGCAGTGGGGACGGGGGAAGGACTGGAGTCCAGATTAACAGCAGGGCACAGATCCTCCTGAGGCTTTAAATCATGTCCGTTTGAGACCGTCTCCAAGCCCTCAAAGTCTGATTTGACACATCCGCAGTTCAAGTCTCCTATTTGATCAGACTGATTCTGAACCACGAGGTCTGAGGAGTCCTCTGTGACAGGAACAGGACATAGTTTCTCATTTGACTCATCTAAAGTGGACACAACGCCTCCATCGTGAAGCTGAATCGTGGCTGCTGGTGTCAGATCCAGAAGAGCCCCACAAGTTACGACTGATACTTGTTCAGGCTGCTGTAAGCACAAACCCTCCACAAACTCCAAATCACCACGACTGACAGAAACCTGAGTGTTCTTCACTTGATCGAAGTCCTTATCTGGTTTCCACAGCGAGCTCTCTGCTTCACAGAGACCATAATCCCCTCTGTGGTCCACTGAGCCATCAGCAGACAGGAGGGAGCTTCCTGAGTTCAGCTCTTGTGTCGTGAATTTTTGTAATCCTGAAGATGCTCCAGACGGGTGTCCCTCCAGATTCACCACGGATGGACTCTCCATTGTTCCTTTAATCTACAGTTTCTCATAATTCAAAACATAAATCCACAGGTGCTTGTGCCTGATGTACAGGATGGCCATTTTGATCCGAGACGCTCAGTCAAAACCACGTCGCTGGTAACCTGAAATAAACAGAAATGAAAGGAATGTAACACGGATAGACAACAAAGGTCCAACCAGGTGGAGAAAACAAACTTCTCACAGCGTTCCTCTTCATGTTTCCATGTTTGTATCTCCTGAGCTGATCAAGAGTGCGACGCAGAGCTTCTAAAACCCGCTCTGAACAAGCCCCCCTCTTAGCTGTGAAAACCAACATCTGTCTTAAACTGAGCCCTTCAAGTCTGGATCTGTTTCACACACGGCGGTGGTGACATCACTGCGCAGAGGAATCCGACCGCTCTTCCCCCGGCTGATAATTTACAACTGGCTACACCATTCATCAGGGGGCAGAAGATGTCCCTGTGTGACTGTGGTTAACATCCCGCTCACCCCTTCATTAAGACCCTCTTCAAAACACACCTTGGACAGGTCCGAGACATCTGAGGTATAGACCCGGAAAAAAACAAAAAAACACAATCGCATTTCTGTGGAACAGCAGATGATTATCAGCCGGATAAACCACAAAGACTGTCCTCAGGAGACGTTTTCAGATGTTAACAGTGCAGCCAGGCAACATTCAAAAAACAAATGCTGAATGTTATCAACATACCTTCGAAAAACTCCTCGTAAAGTTGGATTTTTTGAGATATTCCCAGAGCATAATAGCTCTCTTTTTTAAGTGCATAAAGAAGGTGCAGAAGTTAATTTATGCACATGGCTGGTGAGAAAGCTGCAGTTGCCAGCGTCTTTACCATGGCCTTGAGACACACATGCACACACTCACACACACAGGCGCATACATACACACCGGACATACCCAGATAAAACCCCCACAGACACACAGACAAGGACAGAATCTAACTCTACAGTTACTTTTATGAGCCTGTAACAAGAGTCCAGATTCTGTAAAATCCTGCAGAGAGCGAGAACATATCCCAGTCTTTAGTAAATGTAATTCTGCACATAGTTGCTCCTGTAAGACCTGTCCCTACATGGTCAATGTGAAGTGAGAGTACACGAGATTAGAGCTCCTTCCAAGAAAACCCCTCTTTTTAAAGACCACTATGCAAAGAGACTCTCATTATTCTCCAATGAATGCAGAGCAGATTCAAATGAAGGGAAGAAGTCAGGGAGTGAAAATGAACTGGCAGCGCTGACAGGCCAGGCAGGAACACATCTTATTTAGGAGAGTGGGAGGAAAAAAAGAAAAAAGAAAAAAGAAGCATCCAGCGCTGGAGAAGTTTCTGCAGAAAGGTCCTGAACAAGTCCTCTCACGCAGAAACAACCTATGGAATAAAAATTCTCACCCTTGAGCAGAAGAGGAGTCTAAGCGAGAGTTAGAGTTTCTGCAACCTAAAAGTATGAGAGTCGAAAACAAAAAGACTCACCTGCTGAGAGGACAGAAGCCGTCTGTGTTGTCCAAATAATGTCAGTGAGATCATGGCAAAACAGAGACAGTGGATCCTGCTCCTGTAAGATCAGGGACGGTCTGAGCTCCCTCACAGAGCCACACTTCTGTCCCCATAGGCCTAGTCTGCTAAAGGCAAGCTTGTCATCACAACCATCTCCCCCCTCCTCTCGTGTTTCCCTTCAGGGGGGGGATGCAGGAGAGCTCAGCTAGCAGCGACTAAACCATTCAGAATATGCGTAAGAGCAGGGGGAATGTGTACTTGTTGGGAGATGGAAAGGGGAGGAGAAAGGAGACAGAGGAGGAGGAGGAGGAGGGGGGAGCAGCAGCAGTGGTTGGCACTGTAAAAGAACAAGGTGAAATGGGTTCCCGGCCTTCACAAACAGGCTGCTCTGAAGAATGGCTCACTTCCTCAGCCGGCTGAGCTGAACTGTGCTGTGCTGTGTGGGGGCGAGGTGAACTGCAGCGTTGACCTGTGGCTGAAAAACACTGATCTGAGGAATGCTTTTAAGTCAAAGGGGGAAGCTGTGAAGCTCCATGATGATTTACTGGAGCATATTAGATTTAGATCATATCTTCATGAGGGGATTGAAGGCTCGATGAAACCAAAAGCATGTTTCCTCAAGTCTTCATGTGACATTATCAACAGAAAACAGGGTTCCTATGCGAGTGTGGAAAGTATGAAAATAAATTTGATCAATTTCCAGGTCTTAAAAAGTATGATAAATGAGAAATAAAGTATGGAAATATATCTATGTTTCAAGACTATTACCGCCGTTCTAAAACACTGTTTTTCACAAATAGAAAAGTAGGAATTTCCAAAAATAATTCTAAAAAGTAGGGTATGGAAAAGTATGGAAATTCCAATTATGGAGGAACCCTGAGAAAAGCTGCAAGATGCCAGTGTGCAAGTGTAGAAATAGAGATTCTTGAATCACATTTTCAACTGCGTGACAGGCCCTAATTTACTTAAACATTCAGGGAGAGTCCAAGTGCCCAAAGTTTTACTCTGCATTTATCGGCTGAATATCCTAAAGCTTTGATTTATGCTTAGGTATCATAAGGCTATCTTTGCGCCTTTTTGTCAAGTGTTTTGAATTATTTTTTAGTACATTTCAGGGTATGCAAGTATGGAAAGTATGGAAGTATCCATGAAGAGCCATTTCCAGGTCTTAAAAAGTATTGAAAAGGAAAAATATTTATGTTTTCAGACTATTACCGCAGTTCTAAAATACTGTTTTCTAAAATAGAAAAGTAGGTATTTCCAAAAATAATTCTAAAAAGTAGGGTATGGAAAAGTATGGAAAATTTCAACTGTGTAGGAACCCTAAGAAAAGCTGCTTGATGCCAGTGTGGAAGCATAAAAATATTGACCTGACATGATTGTTGAATTTTATCAAGAATCTGATGAATCACATTTTTAACTGCGTGACAGGCCCAAACTTACTAAAACCATCAGGGAGTGTCCAAGTGTCCAAACTTTGGGTTTTTTGTCTAGTTGAATATTCTGAAACTTGGATTTATGCTTTGATACCATGAGGCTACCTTTACTTCTTTTTTAAGTGTTTCGAATAACATTTAAGTACATTTCAGGGTTCCTACGCAAGTATTGAAGTATTTTGATCAATTTCCAGGTCTTCAAAAGTATGGCCAATAAGAAGTTAAGTATGGGAAAATATCTATGTTTTCAGACTATTACCACAGTTCTAAAATACTGTTTTCTAAGAATAGAAAAGTCTGTATTTCTAAATTTTTTTCTAAAAAGTAGGGTATGGAAAAGTATGGAAATTACAACTGTGTAGGAACCCTGACATTTGTAACAGAAAGTACACAATGTTCATATTTGCCATAAATGAGCAAAAATCACAATGTAAGAAATCCCAGCTTTGAGCCAAGACATTTACAGCCTAACAATTGTTTCTTTGTTGATAGTAAACAAGAGTTAAAAATGTGTGTAGGAGAAGCGATGTGTAGGACACGTAAGGATTGTGGGTAAAAGTGAAGGATGAGCATGTAGAGTAAACATGTCAAAGCGTCCGCTTGTTCATCGGCTGAGGACTTGTTGTTCCTGCAGGACCGAGCTTTAGCCTCTAAACTGTGCTTGACTTAATACCACAGGGGTCCTTTCATTCTTTCATTCATTCATTCGTTTGTTCACTCATTCTTCTCTCAGTCTCCTCACCAGGAGAGAACCGGTGAAGCCACGGTCACAAATCAACTTTTGGACTCAGTTTGACCTCTGGCCCGAGGGGAGAAAAAGAGCGCTGACTGACTTCGCTCATTCATAAAATACTTTGCAGTCTGCCTGTGGCTGTCATTCTCCTTCAGTCATCTTTCAAAGCTTCTTCCTGTTTTTTTTTCCTGTATGTTAGGAGGTCATCTTCGGCCTTTTTATTGTGCCACAAAAACCAGGGCTCACTCAAGAGGAGACCCCAAACTATCGTGTCTAAGAAGTGACATATGCAGAGAAAATAAAGTCAAATTCATGAAATATAAATGTGGAAATATTCTGTATGAATCTATATTTGGCACAGCAGCCATGTTGCAGCAATCAGCTCCTGTTTGAGATGCAAGATAAGCCCATGTCTGCAAACTTTGAATGTTCCCTGATCTTTTGTTAGAGCTGAGTGACATTCCTGATGTCCTTGTTTGGTATATCACTGTTTACATTTCTCTTTTTGTCTCAGTATTTACATGGAGAGGTTACTGGAGGCACAAATTAGCTGGTTTATTCAATCCAAAATGAACCCTAACCCTTCGAACCCTGAAACCAAATCCTTTAATTTTCAGCTACAAAGACTAAAAAGAGGATATACTATACCTTCTTGTCTTGTTTGCACTGTCTATAGAAAGCACAGGTGTGCAGAAGACTGATAAAGAGAAAAAGAAATAGAGAAAGAGTGAAAAACAGCATGAAGTGGATCGGCCCCTGAGTCAGCCTTCTTACACTTTAATGTTCAAAAAAGGTTCGGGGATCACAGAGTTGGACATTTGGCGTGTCTTAATGAAAGCAGCCTTTTATCCGCCTGCTCTATCGGAGCTGTGGAGGTGAACAGTCCAAGGCCAGTGGGAGTGAGAACAGTTTGGCTCAAACACAGCTGGATGTTCCCACCAGCTAACCTGGGAGGACCCGCCTGCCCGTGGCTCCGGTCGGAAGAAAAAAACAACCTTGTTTGTGTCACTGCACGGAAAACTCTGGTACCGAGGGCAGAGACACGAGGGACAGGAGGGAGGAAATTAAAGAGGGCAAAGTCTTTGTGTACTCAAAATTAGAGCCAAAAAAACAAGCTCAGTCTCTGCTGTGGTCGGGTTTGTTTAACTCTCACAGAGAATTAACCAAAGTTAATTTCAAAACAGTCATGGAAACAGGATAATCGAGATAAAATGGTGGCTGCTGAGCCTTTTATTACCCTGTGTGGTGAATGGAGAACATCCCTTTATTCTTTAACAGCAGGACGTGCGCTCTGTCCCTCCTCTGAACGGCTCTGTATTGAGAGGAAGAAGGAGAGGAGGAGGAGGAGGACACAGCCAGGGCCTCCTTCCTCATTGCTCAATTCACCTCAAATATGTCATCATCAGGCGCTCAGATCATTGAGCAACAAGTTTAAGAGCATGAAAAGGTTTAAGGTGTCACCTTATGTGTTCAGCAGGGACTAGAGAGTTGTGCTACAGCAGTCCACACTTAGATGGAAGGAGGAGGAGCAAGTATGTGTGTTAATAAAGCAGAGGGACAGAGGGAGCACGAGGGGAGACACAGCTGTAGCGTGCTGATAAGCTAACAACTACCAGGCTAAACAGTGAGTGAAGCTGGCCTGCTCTATAGGGCTGGGCGATATGGCCTCAAATAAATATCACGATATATTGAGCAGTTCATTGATCGGGACAGAGAAAATAAAGACTCTGATACTGACCGACAAAAGACCAAACCAAAGCTACAAAAAGCGACATTGTTCAAGTTTAATGCTTTGGGTTTCGACTGGCTTTTAAATGACATCAATATCACGATATATTGAGCAGTTCACCTTGATAGCGGTAAATGGATGATAACTACTCCACAAGCTGCTCACCCCCTCCCACATTAACTTTGTCTACGTCAGTCGCCACTCCAGCCCTCCATCTCCTCACCTGTCTTTCCCTCTTTTAAGATCATCCAAAACCAACTTTTATTTATTCGTTTTTTCGACACCGAACATATCGACATGGGCAAAATGACGTTGGTTATTGTCGTAAATTTCGGTATCAGCAAATTTTTGGTTTATCACCCAGCCCTACTGCTATACTTTGTGTTAACATTGTTGTTTTAATTGTATTTCGGCTCAGTAAACTCATGTGACACGTATTGTCAAATCAATAGGTAATAGTGTTTAAGTCCTACCAGGAACATCTTCAGGCATTTCCAGACATCCTTTTTTTTTTTCTCTGAAATGAAATCTTCCCTGTTCCAGTGCGATCATATGTCAAGCTGTGTTAAATCAGACGAAATGGAAACAAGGCCTCCTGCTGCACATCACCGCTATGACAACTATGTCAAGACGAGACCAGGGGTACATGGATGGGCTGCCAAAGCAAACTGCCAGAGATGGCACGCATACCAAAGTCCGGACAGAAATCCTCAGCCGGCAGAGGAGCTCAGCGCCAACCCCTCCAGAAAGGAGAAAATGCTAAAGAAAGAGGATATTACTGTTTGTTTTTTGGCTGATTTACAGAGTGATAAGAATGATAATTTCCCAGTCTGTTCACATTTCAGTTCAGCTGGAAGAGTGCAGCGGATCTAAATGACAGAGTTCATGAACCATTCACTGAAGAACTGCAACACCTGGGGCTAGAGATTACTCTTTCAATGAATTATAAATGTCAAGCCAGACTGGAAGGATATACTGTTAATAAAACATTATGGTCTGTTAAACATTTTTGATTCCATTTGGAAACTCCTCCAGTCTATTTCTATTTGAGTCTCTGTAAAATATGACAGTTTGTTGAAAAACATATTAACTCAAACTTCTGAGAGCTATTTCAGTCCACATGAACGCCTCTGAGCGCACACGGCAGGCTGACACTCTGTAAAAACAGCGATTAAAACACCTCAGAGAAGCAAAACAAGAACACAAGTCTGATTGAATACAAACTAGAAACTCACAAGTACATTTGTCTGCATAAATAATCTCCTTTAACATCACTTCAGAGTGACCCTATAAAATCAAAAATCATGCCCATCAGTTTTAATCATGGACTGTATA